GAAACGTCATGAACTCTCTCTCTCTCTCGCTCTCTTCCCTCAATGTCGTTTGCCAAAATTTCATAGACGCGACACGACATCCCATGATATCGTGGACATGACATTGCGGAGAAATTATGGCAGCTAGCTGGAACGAGGCTAGTTGCAAAACGACAGAACTGGGAGAGAGGGAGGAGAAGAGCATCCTGGGTGAAATATCGCGGTTTAACGTGACAGTTTAAGGGCGTTAACCCTGGCGACGCTAATGTCATCTGGAATAGAAGGCGAGCTGACCGTCCGCGGACACTCGTAAAAATGACAATTCTCCCGCAACATTTATTAATACGCCTTTCAAAGTACAAGCGACAGTCACGCCGGATCTGATGAAAAATCATGTAAATTGTAAGACGAAAAGAAGAAGACCAAAGAAAGGAAGACGTTGCCTTTTATTTCACGTGGGTGACACTAGGAAGAGAGAAAAGGGATATTCGATTTAAATATCAAATATCTAATAAAAATTATGTGTACGTGTGAACACGGAGAGAATTTTCTCTTAGAATTTACCCTGAAAATCAATGGTAATTAATATCTAGGTACATATAGTAAATTTGACTATCACACTTTTTACATCTTATTGTGTCAATATTATATTTTTTATTGTGGTAAATATTAATCAGAGAAATTTTTATAAAATTCTTCCAATACCTTATTATCCCATGATTACCATGATTTTCGGGGTAAATTCTAAGAGAAAATTCTCTCTGTGTATGTGTACTAAGATAAGAAAAATAATTTGCAACTAGCCATACACTTCTTTTAAATTATATATCGTTTTTAAACCAATTGAAAGCTACTAAATTGTACTGTCAGAAAAGAAATCAAAGTCTCTCCTCTGTCACGAATATCAGTAACGCATCGTTTATTGAATCAACGTGTAATGGTCGTCTCGCGATGTGTAATGCTGGAAGCAACGCGACGGATTCTATCGAAGCGAATAAATCGAGTTCTTCGTTGCCATGATTTCCCGCACGAACGTGTCTCGCCAGAAATAAAGGAAGGGAAACGCATCCAGCCGATGTCTATCATCAGTGGCACGATATACCCGCGATTGACGGCAAAATGGACGTTCCACATCGTATCTGGTACGAGAGGGAGAGAATCATGGGGTCGGGGTAATTGGCTCAGCATCATCTGCTATGAGTTATACAAAAAAAAAAAAAACGATTGAAAATGCAGACATTTTGTCAATAGCTTACAGACATAATTTTAAATGATATCAACAGCTGTCAAGAGATCATCTACCTGTTTGCGTTAATACGATTTTTTAAATTTAAAGTTATCTGTAGAATCTGATGGGATGTCCTCCCTTTCTGTCTTCTGACAGGATATTTGTATCTTTTCTTTTGGTTTGTATATGCGTAAAGAGAATCTTTCTTAGAATTTACCCTGAAAATCATGGTACAATATGATATTAGAAGAATTTTATAAAAGTTTCTTTGATTAAAATATTCAACACAATAAAAATTAATATACATAAAGAAGGCAATAAGAGCTAATTAAGTTCTGTTATTAATATTTATTTGTGGAAAAAAAAAATTTTTAATATAAAATATTAGACAAAAAAGTTCGAACGTTTCGGTTGCCTTTTTCAACCTTCTTCAGCGCATCATTTAAAATTAAAGATTAATAGAAATTAATAATAAATTATTCATAACTGTCAATATACTAAAACTATACAGAAACAGAGTTATTCGCATAAAACTACGTCAAGATATTATTTTTATAAAAAATGAAATCAACACATTTTTTAAAAGCATGAGCACAATAAAAATTATTAATATGTACACGGAAAAAAATATTTGTGTGAAATTACACGATTGTGCTGAGTTTTTTTTTATCTAGCATAATCATGCAATATTGCTATACATATGGAAGATTACAGATTATATGTAATTTTATATGAAATATGTTTTTATACACATATTTTCAAGATTAAAAATATTCCACTGAACATGAAATTGCACATGAGAAATGCTAGTAATGTATAAATGCTATAAAATAATGTTATAAATAACATGGATAATGCTTATAAAATAAAGTTCTAATAAAGTAAAAATGCAAGTAATTTTTGCATAAAAATAATTTTATCTATATTTTACATTTATTTTTACATTAATATGTATTTTCACTTTAAATAATATGGGAAAAAAGTAATTTTCTCAGTTTTGAACAAGTAATTTCCACGTAAAAAACATGGATTTTTTTCAATGTACACAGTAAAATTAATTGGACATATTTATATATTATTGTGGTAGATACAGCAGGGCGTTTACCTATGGGCTTTTGGGGCTGGATGCTGGAGCTAAAATGCCAGGAGCGCTATAGCTTTAAAAAAATTAAAAATTAAAAATTTTTTAAAAATTTCTATATTCTAGAAAATGTACGTTTCGATCCTTTTTTCGAATCATCCTCAGCAAATTGTGAGTCGGATCAAGTGGTGATGTATATTTTTGTAATTTACTGAGAATGATCTGAATAAAACATCGAAACGTACATTTTCTAGAATAAAGAAATTTAAAGAAAAATATGTGTCTGAAAGTAAAAAGTCAAATAATAATGTTCCATTTTTTAAATTATTCATCTGTTCTTAAATATTTTAAAAATTTAACAAATATGAAAAATGTTAATTACACGCTGTTTATTCATTTGGGAAAAGAGGGAGCTAGATTGGGGCGCTCGAAGATCACAAGCTCCTGGGCGCAATTTTTATAAACGCGGCTCTGGGTAGATATTAATATTTTTTATTGTGGTACAAATATATTAATGATATAAATAATTCTAATAAAATTCTTTCAATATCAATATGATATTGCCGAATGATCAGCATGATTTTCAGGATAAATTCTAAGAGAGAATTCTCTCAGAGCAGCGTTACGTATCGCGCAACAATTGGCAATTCTCCAGAGAAAGGATGGGTCGCGCATCAGGCGGCACATCGGGCTCTTAATAATAACGGCAATAAAGCAGCCAAAAGGTGCACCTTCGGGTCACCGCTCCGATGCGAATGCATCGCCACGCAGGAAATGAAACTGTAGCCATATGACACGACGACGCGACGTTAAATCCGCTCCTCTTTTTCTCTTCTTCTCGTCACCGCTCTCTTCTTTCGCGACTTCTTTCCCGGTTTTACGGCTCGTTTGGCAGCGGAATCGCCGCGTTAAACGCATCCGCGGACTCGCAGTTCCGGAATAACGTCGCGCCAGCCGCCGACTTAATATAATGAGATGTTTCCTAAGTATGTAGTTGGCAGAGGAAATTCTCCTCTCTCGCGCGCGCTCTATATGAATACCAATATGTGGAAGAAGTATTGTAATAATATTCCGCCTGTACGCGCAGTAAATAGATTTTCGAAGAGAGGGATAGGATTTTTCACAATCGGAGAGAAAGAATTTTTCATTTTACAAAATTGGAGCCACGGGCAGCTCGATATACGATGGCGTTTTAGATAGGAAAAAATGTCCGACGGCTTAATAATCTTCGTTCGTTTGACGGGGGATTTTTTTCCCTGCCATATAACATGGATAATAAAACGTGCCGGCCGAAAAAATAGATACCGAGCGCTAGCTGGTTGCTCGGACGTTGTGTCCGATTTATATCGGACGAGTGGGAATATTACTTTCGAGAAATTAAACGTGCGAGTGTATATACATATATATATATATATATATATATATATATAGTGAAAATGTTGAGAGGGCATACGTAAAGTCATAAAATATTTGTACCACGTATCAACGATACGTGAATGTGTTTATGTTGGACACATATTGCCTAATATTTCTCTTCGCCACGGGATGAGCACGTTGTATCCGCGCGCACGATGTTTGCATTCGAAACAGCGATTTTCATAAAGAAACCGGTGACGTTCGATAAACGACTTTAGCGTCAGCATAAATGTTTGCCGGCGAATATGATTTTCCGGTTCGAAAACCGGAGCGTAACATCGAGCGCGATATTATGCGTCGTATAAAAACGGCGTTTTGCTTTACGTCGTCGTACGTCATGAAATGCAGCTTGTTAAAACGAGATTAATTAAGTTCTGCAAAATCCTTTTTAATTAGCATGAATTTTTCATAGAGAAACGATGATTCCCCACATGTTCGTTTTAGTACTATACAACGATTGTCGAAACGTCGATCTACAAATATAATGTTTATTCTGTGTGCAACCTAGATTAAGTTTAGGTCAGGTTGTATCTCTATTGTTTCGATTTAGCCTGATAGTTTGGAAAAAGATTTCTTGGTTATTGGTGGTCAGTGTTTGCTATCTAAATAAAATTATATAAATGATTATCTAAATGAAACTTTGGCGGAATCTTATCTTTATACATATACATAATAAAAATATATATTATCTATATCTGCATCTTAGATGAAAAAATAGTATTTTTATTAAATTATCTCGAATAATTTTCAGATAATTTTGATTTAGAATCATAACACATAAAAATATTTAAATAGAACTTAAGCAGTAAGCAATGAAAATTTATAAATAAAAATATGAATACATATATTTTTATATCTCCCTTTTATAATTTACATTTTTTTAGAACTGTACCTATTTACATAAGCAATCTTAAAAATAATATTGTCCAAAAATTATCTAGATGAATCGCCATATAATTTTATCTATTTTTATCTAGCTAATTTAAAACCATCTAAACGCAACACTGTTGGTGGTATCTTATGAAGATTTCTTCTTGTAAAAAAAATCTTTAGCGATCAGACGTTGTTAAAAAGTCTTCCTGCTTCCTGTAAGGATTCGGTACATTTTTCAATCGTTTGTTTCGAGGGTCTGAATCATATTTACATCAATCCCTATCGAACCATTCATGCGAGAATAATAATCGTTCGGGACAATCCCGTCGGACTCGTCGCTTCCGCTTGATCGGCCGGAAACCGATGATATCCTGCCGTGTCCGATGTAACATTGTAAAGGAAACCGTCTGTCTCTCTGCGCAGGATTATTTCACCGTGTGGTGTTGTCCAGTGGCTCGGCACTAAGTCCCTGGGCCTCGGTGCACGATCCGAATGATCTTAGGACAAAGATCGGCGAGCAGATGGGTTGCTCGACCGAAGGCGAAGATGACATAGCCGATTGCTTGCGAGGAGTGCCGCTGAAGACTCTTCTAGATGTGCAACTTCCGGAAATCAGGTGAGTCGCGAGAAGCCGAGCGAAGAGGGATTTACTTCGGATGAATAGTTTTTTTTTATATCCGATCGAGGGGAAATTAAAGTAATAAAATATGTATTTCGAAATTGGTACAGATGGAACGAATTGATATCTCTTTTTCATCTTTTTATTTATGATAGCACATGCCGATGTAATAAATATTGCCTCGCGGAATCGCGTTTGCCATATATATTGCGGGATTCGTATTCATCGCCTGAATATTGGAGTTATGCGTTTCGATGAAAAGTGGAAAATGCTGAATTGTAAAAAATTCAAGGAATATGATTGATACGTTGAAAAAGTGACGTTTAGCCAATGCAGCTGCAATTATCTACTACGCTACAAATTTATAATAATTTTATAGAGCTTTCTTTTCTCCCTTTAATCAATTATATAGACTGTCAAAGCAATATTCAAAAGTAAATTCTAATGTTACACAGAGAGAATTTTCTCTTAGAATTTACCCTGAAAATTATATAGTAATTATTGGACAATATGATAATGAAAGAATTTTGTAAGAGTTTCTCTGGTTAAAAATATTGACCACAATAAAAAATATTAATATGTTCATAGTAAATTTTAATAGTAATGAAATTAATCAAACATATTTTATATTTTATTGCGACAGATATTAATATGTTTTATTGCAGTAAATATTAATCGGAGAAATTCATAAAATTTTTCCAATACCATATTGTTCTATACGATTATCATGATTTTCAGGGTAAATCCTAAGAGAAAATTCTCTCCGTGTATAAATCGCCACATTTTTGCGTCTATAAAAAGAAATGCAATTAATCGAGTGTTCAAAAAATTGCGAAAAAAAATGAAAACTAAAAATTAGACTCTTGATCGATGTTATTTGCGTTTATATGAGATTAAATTTCTCTCAGCGCATTTGAGAATATATATTTAGCGCGAGCCCGCGAAATAAACGCGATAGTACTAATTGCAGGATAATCACGGCGGGCGCTAAATTATTATCGGATTACCATCGCGTCGCAGCGAGGTTAATAGCTCTCGCTTCATCGACCTGACACCTGCTTGTTGTATCGATTTATCATCGCAACGTGCACGGTGCGATGCCGTGCGATAACACTTTTACAGATTCGTGCCTCGCATCGGGCCCAGTCTGCCGGTGGACCAAAACAATCCCGACCCGGGTCTGGACATGGAGCGAGCGAGCGACGCTTTCATCAAGGTGCCGCTGATCCTGGGGGTCTCCACGACCGAGTCCAACCTCGATTTCAACGCCAACGACATTCAGTATGGCTTCGAGGAGGATCACCGTAATCGCATTCTGCGCACCTTCATCCGCAACGCCTACGTCTACCATTTGAACGAGATCTTTTCGGCGGTGAGGAACGAGTACACGGACTGGGATAAGCCGGTGCTGCATCCCATCATAATACGGGACTCGACTATGGAGGCGTTGAGCGACGGTCACACGGTTGCGCCGCTTATGAGGATCGCCTTCTATCACGCCAGACGAGGCGCCAAGACGTACTTTTATCACTTCAATCATCAGTCCAAGGACAACGGCTACGTGCAGGTAAAGTAATTGACGACTATTATTTGCTATTATTTTAGCTAAAGAAATCTGGAAATTAAACAATTCATTTCGTCACATGCTAAGAAATAGGATCTTAGCACTTTTCTTTTTAAACAGCGCATTTTTTACGACACAATTTTTTCAAGTACAAGATTACACTGAAAAATTTATATTCTTATTTTAAAAATGTCCTACTTATTTTTAAAATAAGTTCCTGTTCTAAAAAAAAGTATTGCTGTTCTAAAATCGACGTCAAAAGAATTCTTTCATCTTAAGAAAGTCTTCTAAAGAAGATTAGAATTAAATAGTTTTAATTTATAAAAAATGTAGACGAGAAGTGGAATTTATTTTTATATGATTTTACAACAAAAAAGAATCATAAAGAAAGCATAGACATATAAATCGAGTATGAGGCGCGAGATCTGATTTCTAAATAATGAATGATTAAATGAAATTAAATTACACGTTACTCAAGAACATTTCTCGTAAGTTGCTCAAAGCTTCTTTTTCGAATCACTTATTAACTTTATCTAATCTTTTAATAAATTAAAACAATATATAACAGTGAATACACATTGCACTGTAAATTACAATATTATACAACCATATGTTGTAACAATATGATCACATAAAAAATATATGTGTAACTGTTTGTTATTAATAATAGAGACATATAAATAATTTCTAAAGTAAAAAAAATTGCAGCGAGAGGTATAACGGGAAATTGTACAATTTAACGTTATCGATACACAATGCATTTCGAGACAACGTTTTTTACTATACTAAAACGATATACAGGGTATTGAAAAAAAGGTAAAATAATTTAAAGGAATTTAGTATATCTCAAAATAAGTTAAAAGTCTTAATAAAATGGTCCGCAAATGAGCAGTTTTTGAGATATTTGCAATATCTCATATAACTTAACTACAACTTAATTTAATAAAGTAATAAAAATATCTGAAAAACGGTTTATTTGCGACCCATGTTTATATTAAGACTTTTCGATTTGTTTTTGGGAATACTAAATCTCCTTGAAATATTTTACTCTCTTTTTCAACATCTTGTAGAGGCGCTTTGAGGTGGTCAAACGTTGAACGAGTTGAAGTAACGAAGAGAGAGACAGGCACTGCTTAAGTCTAAGTTAACTCCATTAACTTGACGTCCCGAAGAGAGACTAACGCGTTCATCCTCGACACCTAGTAGCCCGCTGGCACTCTCAGTTAAGGAAGCAACCCGTTCAACCCTTTCCTGACACGCTCTCTCGATCTTCCTACGTCCTTGCGGCGCGCTCATCCGTCTCACTCTATGCTCAGGGTGCTGGATCTATATTCGGCTGGTAACCGCTGGCCATGACTTCACGATGAAGACACTGATTTAATAAAACGCCTCGGGCGATCTGGGCGCACCGTGTTCGCATTTTGTCTCGAAAATGACAGAGATTTGTCACTCTTGACGTAATAATGTTGGGAGGACGAGAATGAAATTGTTATATCGGCTAATTTTTAAGGTCTCTCTGCCAAGCGACTTGCATTAATCCGCGCTCGTGGAAACCAGATTGACGTTTTCAATTTTGGAGGAAAAGTAGTAGACTGTGTAGAATATATTTCGCGATATTATACGACGATATATATGAGGAGAATGAAATCTCTGTAGAGGGATAAGAACGCAAAAATTTCTCATAATATCCTTCCGACATGACATTTAGGAACACGGCGTAGAAACACGAAAATTGCACCAAAAGTTATTTAATCCCGACTCGGCGAAGCGGAGAAGCGTAGTTAACAGAGCGATTCGGAGCATCAACGTTATGCGTACGTGTGTGCAAAATGAAATTTAATTAAGTGCCGAGCGAAAGATTCCTTCTTTAATAAATTCGCATACGCGGTAGTGTCTTCATCACTTTGGAGAATATTTAAAACGCACATAATCAAAACGCGTCGTCGCGTTATTCGCATCGGGTTTGCTTTGTTATAAGCGTAAAGAAAGAGCGAATTAGCCGAGACACATTTTAAAGGCAGAAAAAGCCATCCCGACGAAAGATAAGAAGGCGATATCAAGAACACTAAATGCTAATGCGATGAATTTATTTGAATTGTTAATCGTCCGCCATTTCGTTTGACATTCTTTTCCTCTCGCGCGTGTTAATGAGAATTGGGAATAAAATACAAAGCACAAACATACATGACGGCGAATCTCGTTGTTGGACATTATGCAACAAAAAATATAGTCCAAACAACATAATTCTCGACCGATCTCATTGTCAATTCTATTAATTATCTATAAATTCTACTAATTAGAGACTCTGATAATTAATAATTCTCTATTAATATATCATCAATAAATGTAATGTTAATAAATAACCGATAATATTATAACAATTGTCATGAAATAGAAATTACGCAAATTACACGCGCGTATCGTAAATATTACATAAACTCGCACTTCTGTAAATATGTATATAAATAAATCACAATCAAGATTGTTATTTCCGAAATTTCTCAATTTTATAATATTTTTATAGACTTTTTTATCACAAGAAGAATGTCATAAATTCTTTTTCTCTGTAAAAGAAATCTATCGAACACACCTATTAAATTGGGGAAATAATATTCTTTCCGGAAATAATGCTCATATACGATTACAAAAGTGTACAGATTATTTATACTCAAAACATATTTTTATATTAAGATTATTTCACAGTTATTAGTATTATTTTTTTAATAGACACACTTATTTTTTTAAGTTTTAATTTTTATAAGAGATTTGAGATTTGCAAATTATTCGAAAATATCTTTTATCGCGAAAATAAAAATTCATATTGAATCAGCAAGCGGTCACTGCAATTTTGAAATTTGGAGAAGAAAAATAATATATTTATTAAAATATAATTTATTTATTAAAGTATAGTCTTGAGTATGTTACAATTAAAAAAAGCTTTATTTCCTTAAATAAATCATTAAAACAGTAAAATGTTTAAGTTTAATTATCTGAATAAATGTCTATTAAGAGATCAGTTTTCTTCTCTAAACCTTAATTTTTTAAATTAAAATTCAATTGACATTAAAGATATATTATTGTTTATAATGTACATTATTCAAATTTATACAAAATTAACACGATAAAAATCAATCAGTGACACAAACCTCATAAACGCGCAGCGACCGCTTGCCGACTCAATATAAGTTTTTATCATTAAAAACGATGTTCCCGAATAATCTCTCTCTGCAGATTGAAAAATGATAAAAGTCTTCAATCTATGTGTCTATTAAAAAACGCAAGAAAAGAACTGTGAAGTAATCTCAACATAAAAATATGTTCGAGTCTAATACTCAGCACACGTCTGAATTATCAGCGATTGTACCACTGATTTTCGTGAGCGGGATTTTTCTTCTCCAAGCCTAAGTTTTTTAAAATTAAAATTCAATTGACATTAGATATATTATTGTTTATAGTATACATTATTCAGATTTATACAACAATTAACATGTTAAAAATTAATCAGTGACACAAATCTCTTAAACGCGCAGTGACCGCTTTCTGATTCAATATAAGTTTTTATCACTAAAAAAGTTTCCGAATAATCCTGTAGATCAAAAAATTATAAAAGTCTCCAATCTATGTCTATGTGTCTATTAAAAACCGTAAGAAAAGAACTGCGAAGTAATCTCAACATAAAAATATGTTTGAGTCTAATACTCAGCACACGTCTGAATTAGCATCGGTTGTACCACTGATTTTCGTGAGCGGGATTTTTCTTCTCCAAGCCTAAGTTTTTTTAAATTAAAATTCAATTGACATAAAAGATACATTATTGTTTATAGTATACATTATTCAGATTTATACAACAATTAACATGTTAAAAATTAATTAGTGACACAAACCTCTTAAACGCGCAGTGACCGCTTTCTGATTCAATATAAGTTTTTATCACTAAAAAAGTTTCCGAATAATTCTGTAGATCAAAAAATTATAAAAGTCTCCAATCTATATGTCTATGTGTCTATAAAAAATCGTAAGAAAAGAACTGCGAAGTAATCTCAACATAAAAATATGTTCGAGTCCAATACTCATTGTCAGTACACGTCTGAATTATCATCGATTGTACCACTGATTTTCGTGAGCGGGATTTTTCTTCTTCAAGCCTAAGTTTTTTTAAATTAAAATTCAATTGACATTAGATATATTATTGTTTATAGTATACATTATTCAGATTTATACAACAATTAACATGTTAAAAATTAATCAGTGACACAAACCTCTTAAACGCGCAGTGACCGCTTTCTGATTCAATATAAGTTTTTATCACTAAAAAAGTTTCCGAATAATCCTGTAGATCAAAAAATTATAAAAGTCTCCAATCTATATGTCTATGTGTCTATTAAAAACGCAAGAAAAGAACTGCGAAGTAATCTCAACATAAAAATATGTTCGAGTCTAATACTCAGCACACGTCTGAATTATCATCGGTTGTACCACTGATTTTCGTGAGCGGGATTTTTCTTCTCCAAGCCTAAGTTTTTTTAAATTAAAATTCAATTGACATTAAGATATATTATTGTTTATAGTATACATTATTCAGATTTATACAACAATTAACATGTTAAAAATTAATCAGTGACACAAACCTCTTAAACGCGCAGTGACCGCTTTCTGATTCAATATAAGTTTTTATCACTAAAAAAGTTTCCGAATAATCCTGTAGATCAAAAAATTATAAAAGTCTCCAATCTATATGTCTATGTGTCTATTAAAAATTGCAAGAAAAGAACTGCGAAGTAATCTCAACATAAAAATATGTTTAAGTCTAATACTCAGCACACGTCTGAATTATCATCGGTTGTACCACTGATTTTCGTGAGCGGGATTTTTCTTCTCCAAACCTAAGTTTTTTTTAATTAAAATTCAATTGACATTAGAGATATATTATTGTTTATAGTATACATTATTCAGATTTATACAACAATTAACATGTTAAAAATTAATCAGTGACACAAACCTCTTAAACGCGCAGTGACCGCTTTCTGATTCAATATAAGTTTTTATCACTAAAAAAGTTTCCGAATAATCCTGTAGATCAAAAAATTATAAAAGTCTCCAATCTATATGTCTATGTGTCTATTAAAAATTGCAAGAAAAGAACTGCGAAGTAATCTCAACATAAAAATATGTTTAAGTCTAATACTCAGCACACGTCTGAATTATCATCGGTTGTACCACTGATTTTCGTGAGCGGGATTTTTCTTCTCCAAGCCTAAGTTTTTTTAAATTAAAATTCAATTGACATTAGAGATATATTATTGTTTATAGTATACATTATTCAGATTTATACAACAATTAACATGTTAAAAATTAATCAGTGACACAAACCTCTTAAACGCGCAGTGACCGCTTTCTGATTCAATATAAGTTTTTATCACTAAAAAAGTTTCCGAATAATCCTGTAGATCAAAAAATTATAAAAGTCTCCAATCTATATGTCTATGTGTCTATTAAAAACGCAAGAAAAGAACTGCGAAGTAATCTCAACATAAAAATATGTTCGAGTCTAATACTCAGCACACGTCTGAATTATTATCGGTTGTACCACTGATTTTCGTGAGCGGGATTTTTCTTCTCCAAGCCTAAGTTTTTTTAAATTAAAATTCAATTGACATTAGAGATATATTATTGTTTATAGTATACATTATTCAGATTTATACAACAATTAACATGTTAAAAATTAATCAGTGACACAAACCTCTTAAACGCGCAGTGACCGCTTTCTGATTCAATATAAGTTTTTATCACTAAAAAAGTTTCCGAATAATCCTGTAGATCAAAAAATTATAAAAGTCTCCAATCTATATGTCTATGTGTCTATTAAAAACGCAAGAAAAGAACTGCGAAGTAATCTCAACATAAAAATATGTTTAAGTCTAATAATCAACACACGTCTGAATTATCATCGGTTGTACCACTGATTTTCGTGAGCGGGATTTTTCTTCTCCAAGCCTAAGTTTTTTTAAATTAAAATTCAATTGACATTAGAGATATATTATTGTTTATAGTATACATTATTCAGATTTATACAACAATTAACATGTTAAAAATTAATCAGTGACACAAACCTCTTAAACGCGCAGTGACCGCTTTCTGATTCAATATAAGTTTTTATCACTAAAAAAGTTTCCGAATAATTCTGTAGATCAAAAAATTATAAAAGTCTCCAATCTATATGTCTATGTGTCTATTAAAAACGCAAGAAAGAACTGCGAAGTAATCTCAACATAAAAATATGTTCGAGTCTAATAATCAACACACGTATGAATTATTATCGGTTGTACCACTGATTTTCGTGAGCGGGATTTTTCTTCTCCAAGCCTAAGTTTTTTTAAATTAAAATTCAATTGACATTAGAGATATATTATTGTTTATAGTATACATTATTCAGATTTATACAACAATTAACATGTTAAAAATTAATCAGTGACACAAACCTCTTAAACGCGCAGTGACCGCTTTCTGATTTAATATATGTTTTTATCACTAAAAAAGTTTCCGAATAATTCTGTAGTTCAAAAAATTATAAAAGTCTCCAATCTATATGTCTATGTGTCTATTAAAAAACGCAAGAAAGGAACTGCGAAGTAATCTCAACATAAAAATATGTTCGAGTCTAATACTTAGCACACGTCTGAATTATCATCGGTTGTACCACTGATTTTCGTGAGCGGGATTTTTCTTCTCCAAGCCTAAGTATACATTATTCAGATTTATACAACAATTAAAATGTTGAAAATTAATTAGTGACACAAACCTCTTAAACGCGCAGTGACCGCTTTCTGATTCAATATAAGTTTTTATCACTAAAAAAGTTTCCGAATAATCCTGTAGATCAAAAAATTATAAAAGTCTCCAATCTATATGTTTATGTGTCTATTAAAAATTGCAAGAAAAGAACTGCGAAGTAATCTCAACATAAAAATATGTTTAAGTTTAATAATTAACACACGTTTGAATTATTATCGGTTGTACCACTGATTTTCGTGAGCGAGATTTTTCTTCTTTAAGCCTAAGTTTTTTTAAATTGAAATTTAATTAACATTAAACATTAACATATTATTGTTTATAGTGTACATTATTCAATTTTATACAAAATTGACACGATAAAAATTAATCAGTGACACAAACCTCATAAACGCGCAGCGACCGCTTACCGACTTAATATAAGTTTTTATCACTAAAAACGATTTTCCCGAATAATCTCTCTGCAGATCAAAAAATTATAAAAGTCTCCAATCTATGTGTCTATTAAAAAACGCAAGAAAAGAACTGTGAAGTAATCTCAACATAAAAATATGTTCGAGTCTAATACTCAGCACACGTCTGAATTATCATCGGTTGTACCACTGATTTTCGTGAGGGGGATTTTTCTTCTCCAAGCCTAAATTTTTTTAAATTAAAATTCAATTGACATTAGAGATATATTATTGTTTATAGTATACATTATTCAGATTTATACAACAATTAACATGTTAAAAATTAATCAGTGACACAAATCTCTTAAACGCGCAGTGACCGCTTTCTGATTCAATATATGTTTTTATCACTAAAAAAGTTTCCGAATAATTCTGTAGTTCAAAAAATTATAAAAGTCTCCAATCTATATGTCTATGTGTCTATTAAAAAACGCAAGAAAGGAACTGCGAAGTAATCTCAACATAAAAATATGTTCGAGTCTAATACTCAGCACACGTCTAAATTATCATCGGTTGTACCACTGATTTTCGTGAGCGGGATTTTTCTTCTCCAAGCCTAAGTTTTTTTAAATTAAAATTCAATTGACATTAAAGATATATTATTGTTTATAGTATACATTATTCAGATTTATACAACAATTATCATGTTAAAAATTAATTAGTGACACAAACCTCTTAAACGCGCAGTGACCGCTTTCTGATTCAATATAAGTTTTTATCACTAAAAATGTTTCCGAACAATCCTGTAGATCAAAAAATTATAAAAGTCTCCAATCTATATGTTTATGTGTCTATTAAAAATTGCAAGAAAAGAACTGCGAAGTAATCTCAACATAAAAATATGTTTAAGTCTAATAATCAACACACGTCTGAATTATTATCGGTTGTACCACTGATTTTCGTTAGCGGGATTTTTCTTCTCCAAGCCTAAGTTTTTTTAAATTAAAATTCAATTGACATTAAAGATATATTATTGTTTATAGTATACATTATTCAATTTTATACAAAATTGACACGATAAAAATTAATCAGTTACACAAACCTCATAAACGCGCAGCGACCGCTTGCCGACTTAATATAAGTTTTTATCACTAAAAACGATTTTCCCGAATAATCTCTTTGCAGATCAAAAAATTATAAAAGTCTCCAATCTATGTGTCTATTAAAAAACGCAAGAAAAGAACTGTGTAGTAATCTCAACATAAAAATATATTCGAGTTTAATACTCAGCACATGTCTGAATTATCATCGGTTGTACCACTGATTTTCGTGAGCGGGATTAATCTTTCTTGCAGCGGCTGGGAAGCGTTCGTGGTGAAGACATACCGTACATTTTCGGGCTACCGCTGGTGGCAGGCGGGGCTTTCTTCCCACGGAATTATTCCCGACAAGACCAGGGCGTTGCGGAGGCCGTCCTGACTTTCTTCACCAATTTCGCCAAGACCGGAAACCCGAACGAGCCGCACAAGATCGAGTCGGTTGACTATGGCACGCCGAAAGAGAAGACGCGATTCCGTGGCCTCACTTGGGAACAATATGAGACAGGCTCTCAGCAGTATCTCACGATAGGTAAGCTTTCGAGAAACACTTGAGCGTTTCGCTCTTTCTCTCTTTCTCAGTTATTCTTCCATAAATTTAATTTTCCGCAATTGCGCGTTTCCGGAATGTCGTGACTTTTTTCAAATTTCCCTTCTTTCTTTGTCCCTAAAAAAAAGTTCTTTCTTCGGAAGTTTGATTGTGTATAGTCCGGGGACTGCTCTTTATCCGTTCGTGTACCTTAGCGCTCTTTAAAAGTTTCTCTAAGAGTTTAATTACGTGTAATGTACAATCTTCCCTTCGGTGAAATGCGGATGAAGAATTTTATTTCCTGAGAATAATTATGTAAACGGATACTTTAACGTATTCAACTCAAGAGCGTTAAATTAATTAACGTTAATAGGCGCATTCTTTTGTCATTTTAATCGAAATATATTATTGCACATATATGCGTTATAACTATAAATTAGAGAGAGAAGAGTTAAACAATTTATAAAAATAATTAATTTTCTGGTAATTTAAAGAACATACAATAATCAATAAAAGTAATTCCTTGTTATACCACTTTTTCGTAAATTTAATCAATTTAATATAAAGTGGTCTGTATAAAAATGAAAGAAAAGAGAAAATAGAGGAAATAAGAAAAAGTGTAGAATATACAGAGAAATAAGTATAATAGAGAAAAAAGAAGAAAAAGGGGAGAAATAAAAGTAATGTAATAAAGTTGAGTGATAAATTAAGTTTATATGTTTCTTTAAGTTAGTGGAATGTTTTTTATTAATTATTAGTTTGTGAGCTACTTTGTTTTATAGAGAAAGCTTTATCTTATTATTTTATTCTAACATACGAATATGAAGAATATACATTTCTGTATAATATAAATTCGACGAATTAAAATTATGTACATAATAGAAATTTGGTGAATTAAAATTAAATAAAAGTAGATAAAGTAGAAAACAATTGGAGAAAACAATTTCATAAATTGTTAATAAAAGTGTAATATGTATCATAAATAAATGATAATAATTATATCTTTATAGCTATAAATTTTTCTACGACACCTGTTGAAAAAGCAAAAAAAAAGGTATACTTTTAACCATCAAATATTTATTTCAGCATTAAAGCCGAAAATGAAGAGCCATTATCGTGGTCATAAAATGGCAGTGTGGCTTAACTTGATACCGCAGCTTCATCGTCCTGGTGACGATGATGTTTCCATGCGACATCATCATTTCAGGGAACGAGGCGATCATTATTACGCAGGTATGATCATAGATCTTTTTGAAAATAAAAAACATAGCCTTGATTCTCTTAATATACCTGATGGATTCTCTTCCATTATTCAGGACCGGTTCGAGATGAATGGTACACACCACTGCCGTTGACAGGCACAACGCGAACGAGCGCTTCCTCGACCACTGCATGCAGCACGTCTACTGGTGACGACAGCTTCATCGAGGACATCACGCCGATCCTGGATGATTCCGAGGACGACGCCGAGCTGTTGCAGAGACTGGCGTCTCGTCACTATTACAGCACCACTACCGCCCTGGCGATCACCGTGGGTGTCGGCTGCATCCTCCTGGTGTTGAATATGCTGATCTTCGCCGGAATTTACTATCAACGCGATCGCGATAAGAAACGCGCCGCCATGGACTGCAGACCAAACGGACAGGAGTCCCTACCGATGACCACCAGGACGTCGATGAAGCCTTCCGAGAACGCGCGACCCGCTCAGGAGCCGCCACCTTCGTACACCACGCTCGCGAGGAGTCCCTCCATCCAAGAACAGCACCAGCAACAGTTCATGCAGTCTCAGGACAGTCCCGATAGCGATCAGTCAAATAGAAAGGAGCCGAGAGGATCCGGTCATGGGACCAGTAAGGACTCGATGCCACCGAAACCGCCCGCCAGAACCACCAGCTCGCTCAGCACCACTGCCGGGAACACTAATACTATCAAGAAACGTGTGCAGATACAAGAGATATCCGTATAGCATTAGGGGTTGCCCCTAGAGGGCAACTCAAAAATGAAACGAGTGACATTTGTGGACGCGGAGAAGGCCACCGCGGCAGAGTCTAGATTTTGAGTGACGTTCTCTCATTTTGTCATTAGCGAAGATGAACAAATTTGGCCTGACTTGGTGAAAGGAACGTGTTGTTTACCGCGATTGCGCGAGTGTAACGAGAAAAATCAACGAAAAACCTTGCAATGGAACTTTCTGCGGGTAAATCGTCATTTCAAATATATACTTAACGTGCAATTGGAATTGTGTCCGATTGCAATGGACTATTACTACTGGAAATCTCTTCGACATTGTTGTCGACTGTTACTACTTGCAGTGCAGTGCCACGACATGGCTGATTATGATGTGATCGCACCACTGAATTATTATTACTAAACTGCATCTGACATTGTTACTACTTAGGAGACATTACTGCTGATGTTCATTATATTGATGGAAACGTAAGATTGCACGTGCTCATTATGACTGATATAAAACATGGATTGTACGAAGTAGTTGTTACTCATAAGCACACAGACGGCGTTCTCTTCTCGAAAAAATCCATTTTTAATTCAATATAAATATATATATATATATATATATATATATATATATATATATATACACAATTATACAATATAATTATATATATAATTATACAATATATAATTATGTATATAATTATACAATATGTATAATTACACAGTATAATTTATTTGTATATAAAATATGTCCATATATATTTTCTGTCTCTTATCTTTCTGTGATCTCTGTTCGTATACACAGGAAAAAATAGTAAGAATAATTGAAAAATAATTGGAAAAATAATTTTCGCATTATATTTTTTAGAGAAAAAGAAATTGAAGAATTGAGAAAAATGCATTATATATTATATGTATAATTATATAAAAAGAAAAAATTGCTCATATATGCATGCAGGATGAACCATATAAAATGTTATAAGCTATTTTTACCGAAAGTATTAAAGATATCTAACTTTTCAACATTTAATAAAATTCAAATCAGACGTTCACTTTATATTCAAATCGATTCAAGTAATTTCGGAGAAAAAACAGCTTGTAACCGCTTTATTTAACCCATCTTGTATAATTATATATAAGAGCAAGTTTTTCATTTCTTTAAAGTTCATTTTTTTCTAAAAAAAAAATGAAAAAATTATTTTTCTAATTATTTTTCAATTATATTATTCTTATTTTTCCTGTACATACGAACAAAGATTATACAAGAACAAGAAAATATCTAGACGTTTATATATAATTATGTATATTTGTATTTTATATGGACTTTTTTCCCGGGTTCCTGTTTTAGGAAAACATTCAGCGACTTCTAAAATACACATCATAATTCGCGTAGCTTTATTAAATATATATATACTTGAGACGCTCAAAGAATTTTCTATTCAAGAACTTTTTGTTACAACTGAAGATGTCGATAATCGTTTCCTAGCCATTCAATTCACATCGGAATATAAGTTCTGATTGTCTTTTAAAGATCGGAAAATAGGTGGCCTTATATATACATCATTACAATATAGGAAACGTATCAATATCTTCGATATCACAAAGATCGCTTTCCGCAGAATTATCACGGGCGAAAAACGTATAATTGAACTTTATAGCGCGCGAAAATTCGGGAGGATATCTGTAACTAAGCAATTATACGTATAAGAATACCATGGATCGGTGCACAGTAATTTCCATGACTTCGGTTTGAGAGAAATTGCTGTCTCTCTCTCTTTCTCTTTCACTCGAAACGATCGAAATACCAAAGTCACGTACAGGATTCGCATACCATCGCATACCATCGTCGACTGCTTTGTGAAGCATCAATTGAAAGGAAGAGACACTCGATTCGAAATGGATCAAACGGATCGGATGCTTATTCGCGTCCGATATTCGCAAGCGAGGGACGGATACGAAGTGAAAGTTTTGCCCGTAACTATACGATGAGTCTTCATCCCTTGTTTAAGACTGCGACAGCGCTCGAATTTCCAGTTGCACCTTTTAATCGCGCGTATAATTTGGATCCTACCAAAGAGAGACAGTTTAATAAATCTCGAGAAATTTATTCGGGCGAAAAACGCAATTTTCCGATTTGCGTAGTCGCGAGTGCCGTAGAACGACTATGATCGAGTATGACCTTCGAGTGAACGGACTCGATTTTCCGTCGAGTGTTCTTCTGATAGAGATAGTCTGACAATCGCGAGTTTCGGAATCGCGACTAGAGAATTCCTGGTAATGTCCGAAAAATATAGACGCTCATAAATCAATTTCTTCTCTTATTATGTTTTTTCTTGGATATTCTCCATCTTGCAAATTATAGAAAATTATATACAAGAGTTATATAATGCAAATATTGTTGAAATATAATTAAAAAAGAATTATTGAGATATTAGTTGCTTTCCAGTTACACCAAAACTTAGATAAATCTCACTTCTGTTTTTCTTTAACATGGATGTTGAAGAAAGACAGAAGTGATTTATCTGAGTTTTGATATAAATGGAAAGCAACTATTAATATAGTCATATTATCTGAATTTAAAATTGTTGATTTAATTAAACTATACAGTTTTATAACTATTCTATAGTGGTTATATCTTAATTAGAAGTCTTTTTATCTGTAACGAATTGCTTGCAAAATTTTTAATTTTAAGCAAGAGTTAAAATTGTTGAACATTTTTAATTTTAAGTTGAAATTGTGTATAAAAAGAGATATACAAATGCGTTGATATGAGCTTCTGTTAATGAGACAGACATTTTTTTAATGTAAACTTTATGAACAGTATTAATAAGTCCTTTGTACGCGGCCTTTCCGAATTGAAGATTATCGCTGAGATAGAATATGCTCAACAATGTAATAATAAAACAAAAAAAGTAATTTCTCTTAAAGTAAAATTATCGAAGATTTGTATAGAACTCTCTCTTTCTCTCCACCACGACCAAGTATCCTAAGATGTGATCGCGCTCGTGTTTGCAGAGATAAATTTTGTCTTTGTAGAAAGTTTTTAATCTCGAATTAATATTCATGACCTGATTCTTGTGTACAGTCAGACTTCACAGAGATATTGAGTTTTGAGAGTCATCTTCGTCATTTCGTGTATATCAGTTAAATCGATCTACGAGAAAATAAAAATGCACTTTTTGAGATATAATAATGGATGTATTACGATATTATAATAGTATCGAGAGTACGACAAAAATTCAGCAAAAATATAAAAAGCAAAGAAAATTATGGATCATTGATAGATTTGTACTCTCATAAAAATTGCTAAAAGACAAGAGTATATCTTATTTGTATCTTACTTATATCCTAATTTTTAAACCTATGATTAAATCACGGAGCCTGAAACTCATTCAGTATATATATAATGATAACGCTTTATGAGAACTGAATTTTCTAACGCAATTCACAAAAATGTTATCCTGTATGAAAATAAAAGAACCACGCAACCTTTTCCACTTAGAATGCGCCGCGTAAGCGAGTTTCAAGATCATTAAAAATCAAGAGACTGTTTAAAGTAATAAGTAAATTCGTTTGATGAATCGCATATATACGACTTCCTCGGCATGAAGTTATACATATGTATCGATACAATTAAGAACATAAACTTGTAATTAAGAGTACCATGTAGCGTAACATATGCACACAGACTCAGTGTCGCGTCGTAAAAATCATATTGTCGATTACAATAATTTTAAATACGTGTGTACGTTATTACGTGTAATTTTTCAAAGTAATTATTCGCGAATGATCTGATATTTGAACATGTGATACTTGCGTGAAGGTAGTATCAGCGCACGTAAAAGACGGCAGTGAAATTTAAATGCGTGTTATAGTCTAGAAAATCAATTTGTAAATTTCACTGTACAACAATAAATGCCAATTTATAAAGATATACGTGATTTTGATTTATTAATCATATCATTAGTTGGACTTTCAATTAACATGAAAAGTTAACTAAACGAATATTATATGACAAATATAGACAAAATTATATTTTCAAGATATTTTATATGTATAATATCAACGAAGGAACATCAACGAAGGAAATGTGATAACAAAAAGCGAATTTACGTACATTTAACACAGATGAATTTCCAATAATGTAATAACTTACATTAAACAAAATTCAGTATTCTTTTCCTATACAACTTGTCCATATATTGAAAATAGTGTAATATACATTGTACATCTTAAGAGTCTACCTTACTCTTTTTAGCTGGAACGTTAGCAGAAGGACTCTGATTTCTTTTCCTTCCTCCTCCTCCTCGCACATTACGTCCTTTGAACAAAAAAGAGTTAAGTAGCATCTATTCCTTTAAATTGTGAAATTATTTTTTACTATCATAGAGAGAATTCAGTAATTTAAAGAGTTTAACTCAACGAAATCCATATATATATATATGATTTCTCGGTATTAGCATGGCAATAGCATCATTAATATATACATATTTATATATGTAATGGTCGATAATTATACAATTTTCAAAGTTGAACAATTTTTATTTACCTTTTTTCCCTCGTTTCCCTCTGCTATATTTCTTTTTCGAAGCTAACATATCTTCCATCGTTTTTGTTAGGTATTTGTCCTCCTCCTCACCTTCAAGAACTCTCAATGTAACTTCTACATCGCGGATTGTTACCTTGAAATATAATTCATTTGTTATGCTCAATTATTATAATTCCAAAAGCACAATCCAAAAAATTGTAGTAATTTCTCACCTTGCCTTCGTTTATTTTTTCCAACAAAGATTTAGCAGCATTTTCTCCTTGCAGACGTATCCATCCTTCTGTATTCCCTCTTCGAAAATCAATGTATGCAATATCAGCATCATATTTGTCCAAGCATTCTTTTATGTCTTCTCTTGTACATATCTTAGAAGCACCAGAAAAGTGAATAATTGAACCTTTTGGCAATGTAATATCTGTATTAGTAGTATCTGTTTCTGTTGATGCTTGATCCTCCGTTGTATCCTCCTCTTCCTTTTCTTCTCCCTAAGCATGTTAAACATATCATTAATTAAAAAGAATTAAAATTTATTTATATTAAAGATTATATATATTTTCCATTTGTTTGCTTTACTTACATAAGCTGATTTTTTTGATTTAGAATCAGTTTTCTTTTTTCTACGTTCCTCTTTCTCTTGAGCTTTTCCTATATTGTAATCTGTACTATAAAAATTAGATTCAAATACAATTCATTAGATTCATATATAAGTAAATATATCAGAATACAATTAAAATGATGTATATAAATAACTTTACACATATTTACTTACACCCATTTTCTTAGTAATTCAGTATTTTCATATTTTATAGACTCTATACTCATGAAAGCTTTTGCAGCATCCAAAGTTTCAAATTGTACAAAAACAGATCCTTTGAACTTATAAAGTTTATCTTTATTATCTTGATATTTCCTCATCTGTAAAACAAAATAATTCTGTTTAAAAATCTATACATATTTACAATAATTTCTATATTTGCTTTTATATCTGTATTTACATATATCTTGATTATCGAATTTTCCAAATAATCTAATGCAAACAGATATACTTACAATAATTGTTTCAAATGGCTTGTGTGGTTCAAAAAATACTTTTAGCTTATCAATATTTGTGTCGGTTACTGGAAATCCTTTAACATAAACTGTTCTAGCTTCTTGAGCCTTTCTATATTCCTCATTATATTCTGGTAAAGGACAATTTGGCGATCGACGTATCTTTTTTCTATCTTCAGATATTTCTATGAGAGTGCTGTTTTCTAAAGCCTTCAGAATTATATCGACACTTTTGCTAAGACTAGCTAACTGCTTAAAGTTTAACATAACAGTCATCGGAATCCAGCCTTCATCTAGTTTTGTTTGCTCAATGAGAAATTTATCCCTTTGCATATTTACATTACCAAAATAATACTGTAAAAGAAAAAAGAAAGAAATACAAAACATTAGTACTCGTTTAAATTTTTTTATATTATTTTTTATAGATGTTATTTTTATAGACTACTATATTCTTTTTTTTTTACAAAAAAGTAATATATACCTCTACTTGAGTCTTGATCTTTTCTAGGAGTTCCGTAGATGATTCTCCTTCAGCTTCCTCGCTTATGTTGCCTGCAGGCTCAACGGTTTTAGTAACCTAACATAAAAAGATATAAATGTAAGAAATGTTGATGCTTGCTTTTTTTAATCATTAGGTCTTGTGCACAATAGAAAAAATATTAGGAATAAGAATGACTTTAAAATAATAAAATTGAAAAAGCCCTGATATACAAATACGAGCATAAAGGGCTCTTACTATCTTATTAGCCCTTATTAGTCCTTCATAGTCGAATTTGTATTTTTATATCAGTTTTTTCGATTTTATTATTAAAAGTAATTTCCCTAATATTTTTTTCTATTGTGCGCAGGACGTAAACTTCCCTCGTGTTTCTTTTTTTTTTTTTTTTTTTTTTTTTTTGTACCAATTAAGATGCAATTTCCCAATACGATAGAAAAAAATAATTATTTTCTTAGAAAATATGATATACATACCTCATCGGTCTTAATCTGCGAAATTTCCGCGGTCTGTTCTCTCGTGTTATTTGTGTCTTGAGCGTCCACATTTTTAACCTCATCAACGGCGTCACCGTTCAAATGAGAAATACTCGTTTCTTGTTTACCGTTCTCCATATTAATAATAATCTACGATATCTATAAAAAGAAATGTACAATCTCAAGAAACTTTCGATACGCTTTATATTTTATAAATCCGGTATCGAAGAAAAAAATGCCTTCGTCTTCAACACGTGTCCTATCCGTCCTAGTATCAAACCGGAAATGACGAATGATGCATGAAGCCCTTATTTTATATCTTTAGAATGTGTTCGAAATACGTCTGCAGTGTGCATACGTTCAAAAATCTTACTACAGAAATAGGCATATGCACTTTTAACAGCTGACAGTTGCGGATTGACCAATCAGCTGATTCATTGCTTCGCTTTGATTGGTCCATCCTCAGGGTGCGTTCCGTTATGCACTGCAAGTACTGGCACTATGACGTCATGCAAGTGTACTGTTGACAGCGTTCCTTTTTAATTTTGTGCACTTTGAAGCTACTGCAAAATAGTAAAACGGAACGCACTACAGTACGCTTTCAGCAGACTTTTAACTAACCTTTTTCGCTAATAATCATCGAGTGAAAAATTGGTGAAATGGATAATACCATTATTGCATTAATTACATATAATTTAATCGAGAATATATGATTCGAGTGAGTCATCAAGTGAAAGCGATTTGGAAATGGAATTAATAAATGAAATGAGACGACAAATTAAAATACCTAGAATAAAATGTAAAAATTACGTTAAAAATATTGTATCATTATATTCAGATATGGAATTTAAAAGTTAGTTCCACCGTACACATGGAGGTAGCCATCTTGATTACTGCGAGTGCTTTACCTCGCCGGTTGCAGTAATCGCAACAGGAAATAATGTCAAAATTAATGACGTCATATACTCATGATAGTACTTTCGCAGTGCACTGCTATCTATATCGGAACGCTATTGGTAGTACTGTCAGTACTTGCAGTGCATAACGGAACGCACCCTCAATCGTCAACCGTAACCCCAATTTTAAAAAACTATTGTTCTCTCCAAACCTTGTTTGCTTCACAATGTCAAATGTGTTTACAATTAACAAATTCAATCATTACTGTGTATATTTATACTGTGCTGTATTTGAAAGCCTTTGATTGACCAATCGAGATACAGATTTGATTATCCTAATTGGTCAACTAAAATAAAACGCAGTTAGTATTTCAAATGTTATGGCTAGTAATACTGCTGAGGTATGTATACGAGTGTAATGTAAAAAAAAACACAGAAAATATTTATATTATCCTAATCCTAATTATATTATTCCATCTTTATAATTGTAACAAGACTAAGTGAATTTAGAGACTATAATACATATATAAGTATAATGTAAAAGAATGTGTGTGTACAGAAGATATTATCCTAATCTTAATTATATTATTGCATCTTTAAGTTTATAAGCAAATTTATAGATTACATCTTGGACTTTATATTGCAGACAACATTTGAGAACTTTGAAATAAATGAACAATTCAAGAAGAAAGAACGCTCCTTGAAACTAGATGTATTGAGAAAGGCGCACAACAAGATTGTACATAAAAGAGAGATGTTGCCTATTGTGACACACTGGCCCAGTATTTCTACCATCAATGTGGATTCAAATTCCAGTTATGTGCCTTCAATGATGCAAACTTCTACGGTTAACAGTGAAGTCTTGGTTTCCAGTAATAATTTGAAAAGCTTAACAAGGAAAAATTATAAGCCCAATCAGAAAATAACTACATCCAGCATCAAACAGGATGATCGACATGTTATGCCACCCCCAATGAGGAATTCAATTTATCGTACTTTTAAAGAAACACAAGACAAAATCCCTACATTGCAGAAATATGAAATGGTAATGTCGAGTCCACTTAATAGATCTGTCCAGTCTTCTACAGTAAATACTCATAATTTAAATGCTGCGAGCTGTATATCCACTAATCCAAATACTAACAAAAAAGATCGGCATTTTTTTGTTGTAACATTGCCATCTACCAATGAGCCTCAGAAAGTTAACAGAATATTTTCAAGATGGAGAGTTATGTTGAATCATAACTATGAACTAATAATTAAAGGAACATTAGAATGGTAAATATATATTATACATTTTATTTATTTAAATATTATTTTTAAATTAACATATTTTCTGTAACAGTGGAAGAATTGCACATAGCAAACCAATTATAAGGAGATATACTGCAACATATATTGAGTCTAAGTATAAGCATAAATATAATCTTCAAGGAAATATTGTTGATGAAAGAAATGGTAATTAGTTATATAAAATAATTTTAATATACATATATATTTTTCTAAATTTTAATTTTAATATATATATTAAATAACATAGTTTTATATAATAGCATAATAAAAAAATATTAACTTCTTAAATATTAAATTTACGTTTTTTATACAGTATTACCAGATTATATTCGTGGAAAATTTTATAATGGTTTTCCTGACGATTGGGAGAACGTTTATCAGATATGGAGAACATATGTCAGCCAAGGATATCCAGTTACGTTTCGTTGGCCTACTCCTATTACTGATAGTGATGATGACTTAAAAAGTGAAGTAACAGAATTGGCTCACATACATACAAGAAATAGAAATAATAATACTATTCTTATGAAAACTTATGAATCGATTGGACATACTAAATCTGAAATTCCAAGTGACAAATCTCCAAAAATAAAAGAAAAATATCATAATAGTTCCTCTCATAGTTTTCAAAACTATGAAAATACTTCATTTGTAAAACCTCTTATTTCCAACTTTGAAAGAGATACAACTCCAGTGATACAAACAAGAAATACAAAATTAGCATGTGATGAGTATAACAAACAAAATACTGAATTGGATACAAATTCGGTGTACAATTCCAAGGGAATAAATAAATTAAAAGATGTCATTTGCGAGGATAAATTGAATATAATTGTCAACAATTTGATGGACAAAAATTGTTCTCCAGATTATATCAAGAAAATTATCGAGATGTTTGATTGCTTGGACTATGTAGTATCTTACAGAACAACATCGGAGTGTAATGACTCGGTGGTTTTCCCGGATTCTGCAACATCATTCAAATCAAAGACGATTCCGCAGCTGAGTCTCCCTGACAATCGTATGAATACTAATAAGCTTAGGAGTGAAGTAACAGAACAATGGAAAAATTACACGCATTTCACCGACCTGAGATGTAAGAGTATAAAAAGTGATTCTAATGCTGCTCAATCATCGAATCCAATAAATATTAAGCCACAATACAATAAAAATGATGATTTGGATGAATTATCAGAGAGCGAGATTTACGCGGGCGTACCCAAAATCTCGATTGAACGAGTCTTGCATGCCAAAAATACATCTAGAAAAACATTCAAACATAAAATGAAGAAGAAATCGACAAATTCACAATGTAACGTCAAAGAAATCGAATTTGAACCTGCTCACGCGACAACTTCGATCGCTAACAATAAGAACACTTTACCTTCTTACAAATCTTCTATTAGTACAGATGATAAAGTAAAACTGACAAGTACAAAGCAATGTTATGACATGGTAAATAATATTACGCAAAGATCACAGGACACTTTTTGCAGCAATCCGGAGATCCAGAGGAATAATTGCAACATGTACGCAAATAAGCCTGCAATACAAGATAAACAACAATTCAATACTTTTGAGGTACAAAGAGATCATTCGAGGATCTTTACAAAGGAACAACAGAAGATTCGACAATTTGTTGCAGATATAGATTATATTGACGATTCCGATATTGACGTCGCATCTGTAAGCACAAATATGCAGAAAACAGATGGAAATATGATAGCATCGCAATCTAATCTGGATCAAGACATTGTTGTGATCAGTAGCGAGAATAATAGTAATTTTAAGCCTCTTATAATGCGACAAAAACACAGGGAATTTATCGAACCATTAAAGAACGAGATTGCGACAAAAAAATCCAAACCTAGCATAATCAGTTCCATGCCGGTAAACCTGAACTTAAAGATAAAAAGAGCAGATTCCAGACCAGAACAGTTAAGTTCAGATATGAATATTGTGGAGAACGAAGGGGTCGAACAATATTTCAATATTCAACCAGTGGAAGAGGTGCACAATAAGAAATTTGTATCAAAAACGTTAAACACTATAACAAAAGCGAATGATTCTCACTCAAAAATAGCCGATAATAAAAAAGAAATCTATCCGACAACGAATAAGCAAACTAAATTGAATACAAATGTGACTAATTTGACGAAACCGATAGTAAATCCAACAATTGAACAGTCTGAAAGCAATGAAATTGAAAATAATGCCAAAGTGCTGAGCACGTGGATGCCGAAAGTAATATATTATGCAAAATCGAAATCTGAATTGGGCTTGACTTTTGAAGGAAAATTGCTCAAGTAAGAGTACTCTTAAATTTAGATAATTTTTATGACTATTAATTCATTCTAAATTTTCTATTAATTTTATTAATTATTTTATAATTAATAATTGAGCATATAAAAAATTGTATTTCTTCTGTTTACAGTGAATTTGGTCATGTTGTGCATAGGAAATTCACGACAGATATTGTGCTGAAACGAATATCGGCCACATTGATCGAAACAGTGAATCACGAATTCTACAAACTTCTCGGATGCTTGAACGACAATAAGCACGGTAAAGTATCCACAATCTGATAACAATAATACGTTATACAAATATTCGGTAATTTCAATAATTTTTATTTTATATTAGTTATTCCTAAGGAACTTGCAAAACAATGTCGTAATGGATGTCCTACAAACATTGAACAATTTTGTTTGACTTGGAAAAAGTTGGAAAGCAGTATGTGATTTTTTAAATATTTATTTTTTTAAATTTATAATAAATTAAGATTACATGTTTTCTATGAACCAATTTTAGGTGAACAAAAATGAAAGAGAAACTTAATGATACATTAATGGACTCGCTGAATACATCTGTTAGTTCAAGAGGCCGTAGAATCGTACCTGTTTTATCATACTGGACAGGTAAAAGAAAGAACTCTGAGAGAAAGAATGAGAATGAGCAAGTGTACTTATGAAAGAGAGTTAGAATAAATAAATAATAAAAACAAAATGTAAAAATAGAATAAATTGATTTATATAAAATTAAATATATTGATCTATATAAAATTATATATATATATTTATAGTATTATTATTTATACAGGTGAACGCATAAGTTTAAAAGATAACAATCTAGTTTATAACCCGGGTAGTTCACAGGAATCATCATTAATTTCATTAAATAAATCTCCAAAAAAAGATTGGTAAAGTATAATCACAGAAATATGTCAATTCTTATAACATTTACTACAAATATACACATTTTTTCATTTTTTGTGATATATAGAATACTGAAGAAACAAAAAGGAAACAGAAAGTAAGTTACAAGAATACCTCAAAGGACCAAAAACTGTTGTCCACATCAAATGAGATTTCTGGTACAAATAAAACTCAGGTAAATTTTTTCTCCCTCTCCTCTTCTCTCTCCAATTATATAATATTTCCATTAAATTATTAACAAATGAATGATTACTTTCAATTTAGACAATCGCTACTCAAAAAACTCAATCGTCCAACAAGTCATCTAAAACTACAGTTGCAAAAAGAATGTATAAATCAAATAAACGTCGGAAATCCGAAATTAAACAACATATAAAACAAAATTTGACATTCTCATCAACTGAGTCTAGCGAAGAAGAGCACACATCACCATCAAAAGTAATGTTAAAATAGACTTATAAGTAAAAATAGAATTTTTGTCATATATTGGTTTTCTTATATATTTTCAAGAGAGATTATTCACGATTTTTTTTATGTAGCGTATGCGCACTCAGCTAAACACAAATGCAGAAGCACCATTGCAATCTACAATGACATTAAGGAAACGGCATAAGGTAGATGCAACTCCAAATGAAGTTTCTCATGGGAATACAACCAAACATCAGTAATTTTTGTTTTTTCCAATGCATTTTTTTACTTAAATGTTATTTTGCTTCATTTATATTATTAATTTGTTACTTTAGGCATTCATCAATAAAGAATCTGAGACACAACATGACATACAATCATTATAAAGGTATTTCATTGCCAGAAGATTTTTATCAGAAGTAACATCTATGTAATTATATTTTTAAATATTTTGTTACAAATAAAAACACGTAGGTAATATTAAACTTATAAAATATATGCAAAAATTTTTCTCCAAGATATTTTTCCATATTTCTATATATGTATTATTTGTACTAAATGTTCTATTTATATAGTATTTACATCTTGTATAAAGAGTGGAGAGGAAAATTGTAACTTTTTAATTCATTTCTGAAAATGTATAAATATGCGTTTATATATAATAAGTACAAGAAGAAGTCACCACTTATTAATAAAAATGTGATATAAGATTAAAAATATTCTTGTGTGAGACTTGTAGCAAATATTTTTGTTATTTAAAAGGAATAAACAAGAGAAAATATATATCGCTTTTTATTGTATTTATAGTTCTTGTTGAACAAATGTACTATGTAATAGTATATAAATTATACCCTAAAAATATATAGAAAAAAGAACAATGTTGAAAGAGGCAAATATGATAAATAAAATATTTTTCTCACGATTATATTTTAAAGTTCAGAGAGATTATCAGTATTTTTTCAAATAAAATGTTACATGGTTTTATCATTGTATGACTTTAAATAAAAAAATCTTGAACTGTATTATAATAAATAAATGATTATAATAACAATTAATAAAAAAATTTAAACGAAATTGATTTCATAACAAATGCAAATGAGGAAGGGTAGCTATATTTATTTAATAAATATAAATAATTTTTTGATTCTTGTCAAAGACAGAGAAAGAGAGAGAGTGCAAACGATTTTAATATATTCTTGGATATTTTCTGTGTTTATATTTTTCATTCCAATTCTTTTTTCTTTTTTTTTATTCCAAATCTATACTTTTTTTATAAATTATCTTTTTTAAAAATCTGACGCCAATTTTTAAATCGATTGGTTATCGTCCTGTCTTGCGCAAAAGTCCTTTGACGTTTCTTAGGGAATTTTAACATGCTCAAGTTGGTACCCGTGTTCAGAGCCGTTCGCTGACTCCTTCTTTTCCGGTACGCTCCATCGAGTGACTGTGTCGTATTTAGTTTTAGCTGTAATTATATCTTTCTCCATCTTCCAACATGAGGATTTATAAGGATCTTTTCACCGGTGAGTAAACGGTAAACGATTCTCGCAATTATATCAACTGAATATGTTTATTATTTTTCACGCCGAAATGTGATAATACGAACAAAGAGCTCCAGTAGCATCTCGAATGTTCTCAATAATGTTTCCAATTGTGAAGAATGTTTCCGTACTTTTTCTAAATAAAATTACACAGGACAGACTTTTATACTTTACGGTACATTAACATGATTATTATAAAATTTATATTTTTGATGGATACATGACTTTGAAATTCCTAACCTTTCCATATGTTCTTGATGATTTTTCAAGAGTAATGTGTCATGTATTGTTGTAAGACTCTCTCTGAAGGATCTTATTCTGGAATAAAATCATTCTCTTAAAGTAATATTTATCATAAATAAGGATTATAATATTTTGTATGTTTTTAGGAGATGAAATGTTCTCCGATACATATAAAATGAAGCTAGTGGATGATGTGCTGTACGAAGTATATGGCAAGGTATATTTTTATATACATTTATATATTTTTTGTGTATAAAAAATTTTTATACTAAATATGTATGTATTATTTTTCAGTTAGTCACTCGTAAATCTGGTGGTGACATTAATATTGCCGGTTTTAATCCCTCTGCAGAAGAGGCTGATGAGGGCACCGACGATGTGGTAGAATCTGGCGTTGATGTAGTATTGAATCATCGGCTTCAGGAAACATTTGCTTTTGGGGATAAAAATCTTACACCTTGTACCTTAAAGATTACATGAAAAAGTAAGTACCTAAGTTTCTAAATAATGTATATTTTTGTTTATTAGCTGAAAATATGTAGAAATAAATACCTTTTATATATATATATATATATATATATATATATATAGTTAAAATATTTATCAGAATATTAAGTTATTACATATTAAAAATATTAAATTATTAATTATTAACATATATAAATTAATATATTAAATTTAAATACTTATATTAATTATTATAAAGATTAGAAAACTATGAAGTTTCTTCAGTCACTTAATGATGATGAATATGACTCATGCAGTAAAAATGATATATTAAAATTCTTTTGTAGATGATGAAATATTCAGATGTTTAATGGTTATAATAACTTTAAAAAAATTTAAAAAGTATTGGAAAAATATTTTTTTTTACTTTTGTCATATATTTAAGTTCTATCTATTGCATATCTATTATATAAATATTGTATGGATGTGTTGTAACATACTATATAATTTTTCTCTTTACAGATTAGTTGCAAGGCTAGAAGAAAAATCACCTGATCAAGTAGATGTTTTTAAAACCAATATGAACAAAGTAATGAAGGATATTCTGGGTCGTTTTAAAGAGCTACAATTTTTCACCGGTGTTTCAATGGACATTGATGGCATTGTGGGCCTCATGGAATATCGCGAAATCGACGGCGAATCTGTGCCTGTACTCATGTTTTTCAAGCACGGTCTTGAAGAAGAAAAATTCTAAGTTATTTTTAGAAAAAATATTCAATACAATATGGACAAATTTTGTGAGTTATGCTTTTATTTATTATATTTATGCATTAATGTTAAATTTATATATGTATATATTATTTATCTAATTAACAGGAAATGAGCTATTAAGTTGTGCAATTCAATTATAAGAAAAGTATATTTATAAAGTTAAATTCTTCATTAGAAAAAAAGAACCCACACATACACACACGCACATCCATTTTACTATTCACAATTGGCTCTTAATGGTTCATTTTCTATTAATTAGTTATTTAATATTAGAATCTTAGACTTTGTTTTTTAGCTTTTAATGTTAAAAATTAACATAAAATAATTTAGAAGAAATTGTGAAGTATAATATACATGTAAATTCGTGACCAACACTTTTTTGTGTTTGCCACTGCACAAACATGTTAGATCAAATTGGTGAGCAGATTCTCACTGTGATATCTTTTAGCACAGTGTCTAATATAAACCATACATGTTTAATAATGCAATTTTGAATTTTGGTATATATATTTTTATATTTTTTATTGTAAAACAAAATTAATTTATTTTTATATATACTTTCAGATAAACTGGAATCAAGACTGTACACATGCTACAAAGCTGTGGAATTTAGTTAAAAATATAAACCGATTCAATACTTCCAATCTTAGTTAACAATGCAATTAATTAAACACTGCGTAAATAAAATCTCGGTTAAATGACAATTTCTCAATAAATAGTTGTAAATACTCAGAAATAAGAGAAGAGATGGCAACAACAGGAATGTTCGTAAAAATGTCTGTCGCAGAAAATATATTATTTTCGTTTCTTTGTCCAAAATTTAGATTATTTTATATATATATATAAATCTATATGAAGTATAAATAAAAATGGAAGATGGGGAAAGAATGTGCAGCGCGATGGATTTACATCAATGATATAATGTTTACAATTATTGTGTTAATACCAGTAATGACTTCTGGAACACATATTCGAACACATAATGTCTATCATAAATAAAAAAATTTTTCCATAATTTTTCTTTTACTATTTTTTTTCCATAATGATTTTATTATATCTTTTCCTTCGTTCCTTAATTATTCCTCGTAATTCATGAATGTAATATATGTAATTTATGTAAACTCTATTACATATCTCTGAAATGCATCTAAATACATTTATATGTAAATTTTTATGAAATGTAAATGATTTATATTCTCTGGGAACTATTGTATTTTAATTATTATACATTTAATTCATTTTTAAAGAACTATGTAATTGTATATTTCATTATAAATCTAACAACATCTACGTGAAAAATATGCACTTTATTGTCTGATAAGAATGACTGTGCTTGAAACTCTTGTGTCTGCTTCTGATAATACAGTAATAAAGATTACTGCAAGAAAGAATCATTTTTATCGTATCTTTGACATTAATTTTCATTAAGCACGTAATATATGAGAAAAGATTTATGTAAGGAAAATTGGGAGAAGTAAATAGAAAAAATATATACATACACGTTTTCACTTCATAAAAATATTATATTTAGATAAGTCAGAATAGACGATCTATCTCTTGGCGCGAAACCGTACATTATATTTCTTTACTCAGGGATTGTTACTAGCCACATACTGTTGTACAAGTATATTCATAACACATTATTCCCTTGTTTTGCACATTTTTCTTGCCGTCAACAATTTCTCATCCTCTCTTATTCTCAATTTCTCTCTCTCACTTGCCTCTTCTACATCTGGTTCTCTCGTGTTTCTACATTGTATTACTTTATATACCCTCATCTCGCTTTCTGTGAATATATTACTCTTATTCTCTCTAAAAAAAAAAAAACATTTGCTCTCTTCACCTGAGAACTCGACGCCTCCGTACATGATACTTTGCACATGTTCCGTACCGTTATTGAAAAAAAGGTGTATGTTTACATTTACAAAAGCGTATCTTAGTAGTTTAGTAGTAAATAGCATAAGTATGTAGAGACAGATTTTTTCTTTTTATAATCTACAATGAATGCGCGAAACAAAATGTCCCACTATGAACGAAATCATAACTTAAAAAGCTTAAAAAGATAAACTCTTGAGGGAGATGTACATATGAGATGTATATATACATACATACACACACACACACATATATATGTGTGTACATGTTTGTATAATTAATTATATTGCTTTGCTATCTACGGAGCACAACCATATATCGTGTCGTTGATTAAAGCCAGTGAAATAAATTAATATCGATTTGCGACAGAGTATATATCATACAACACGTGTGTCTCTCTTTTTCTCCCTCTCTCGCTTTCATTCCACTAACAATAAAACAGAATTATCGAAACATTAAAAATCATGATACTTGGAAAATTTCTGAAAAATGGAGCAATTGTATATACTTCGTCGTATGAAGAAAAATGAAGCAATGTCGATAGGCATTCATGTATGTATATGCATGTGTGTATATGTTCGCCGATTAATATGATTATCTTTTAAAATGGAATGTTACATTCAACATTTATCGACATATACAATTATTAATTCACGAATATATCTCCAATCAGCTTTATAATCGGAAAATTCTAATACAATGTCATTTCAATATTTTAATACTTTTTCCACTCTCGCAAATTTTTATAATATTCGATCCTAATCATCAAAAATTATGAACGAACGTGTCTAATGCCGTATATAAATGTGTGGGTTTTTTTTATTCTTTCTCCCTGCACGCGAATCAGAAGAAATAAAACTTCGAAGTATATTCGACTTATTATAATATTTCCCGAAATAATATTTGATCAATAAATGGCAGTCATACAAGTGTTAAACTTATTAACTTTCTTAATTAGAGATTGCCCATATACGTAAATATTGTACGACGTTTATACATATAGATGTAACATACTATAATTAGCTTACACTTTAGCTCTTTTTTTAAAAGGTACGGTATTTAGTAGGACACACACCTGCTACTATTTGTTAAGTTGGGTACACCTTAATACGCGCTCGATAAGAATAAAGTATTATATATTATTAATGTTATCGGTATTATTATTACTATTATCATTATTATCGTTAGTTATTACTATTATCATTATTATTATTAAACTTATTTGTACTGATCTATGTAGAATGGGTGCGTAAAAGTCCAAGTAGCAAACTGACGTCATTTTGATGACGTCATTTGACATCAAAATGATGTAGGCTTGCTACTTGGGAGGGTTTTGGTACGCTACAAAAAGATGCATCGTCTCTCTCTCTCCCTCTCTCTCACACACACACACACACGCACACACATTTGTTCCAAATACTGAGAGAAATGATAAATGATACTTTATCGTATTCTAGAAATAAGAATTTTGCATACAAATAATATGTTAGTTGGAGGAGAAAAAACCGACATGCAACACAGAGAAATATATTGTAACACTCCAGCATACAAAGGTCCGCATAAGTACAAAAAAAGAAACAAAAGCAAGAGAGGTACAATATACATATATATACCAAAGTAAAATGTATCAATTACTGTACAGGAAAAAAAGTTTATACAGCGCACCCGATTCTTCCGTTCTAGGACACAATGTGTTACTATATATAAGATAAGACTGTGTTACGTTATACACACAATTTGAGCATCGTACCATTTCAAATGATACTTCAAAGAAGTATGGCAAAAGCATTTAAGTTTATATATTATAAAATATATTTCCAGGTATACGCGCGCACACACACACACGCATACACACACATACACACAAACATACATACATGATCCAATATCCCCGAATACGATGCTTCACGCGCAAGAAGCTCAATGTGTTATTTATGCTTTTTAGTAGACGTGATCACACACGGCATTCCAAAAAGATCACTCTTTTTAAATCCTCTTACCTTATATAAATGTATCTGATCGCAGGATATAATTTATTTAATCTGTCGCTGTACCTTTGTTAACTCTTTTTTTCTTTTTCCTGACCACTACTGAGGTTGTCGTATATTTGTATTTGTGAAAGAATTCGGTGTTTATATATATTCATATATTTATAATATATGTATAGAGATATTTCGGTTCTTTTAACATTTATATATTTCATATGAAACTTCATTCACAGGTAGCATTCGCGCCCACCAATCCTAATGGTTACTTATTACAGCGTCGTTTTATATTTTGTGAGGAATTTGAAGAGGTGATCGCTAGTCGCGCGATTATTCAGAGGTAATTTTGGTCAAGTGCTTTGTATCAATAAAAGTAACGTGTTGAAATAACAATTGTACAATCAAATAATAAATTAGTATTATATATATGTTATGTATAATACAGGATATTTTGAAAGTCTGGAAACAGTCGAATATCTCAAACAAACAATGCATTTTAGAAAAAATATACCTAAACGATGCATTTGTCTTAAAAACACATAGTTATTTTCAAGGAAAACTATGTAATTTGCAACTAGCAGCTACATAATTTTCCTTTTATTTTTTAAACCCTATAATTTTTATTTGAAACATTTTTCTCTAAAGTGCATTATTTATAAGATTATTGGATCACTTACAAATTTTCAAAATACCCTGTATATGTGTATATGTGTTTGTGTGTGTAAAATCTCACTTTAATATGTGTGCGCTCCTACTTAATAAATGAAAATGACTCGAATTATGCTTATATATTGAGAAATTAAATCGATTTATACATATTCGATATTGCTCCTGCGTCCGCATATTAATACGTAACTTTTCGCCTTCCCTGAATGCTCAAGATTCTAAATAGAAAAAAACAGGCATCTGAAATGAATAGTAACTCCAGTATGTTATAAAAAAAATTATGAGTTTAATAATTGTGTTTGTTTTTTCCACGATACGCATAACATTAAAAACTCTCATCAAGTAGATAACAATAACCAACAACTAACAATCGTAGGCATTCACGCAAAAATAGAAATATGTTTAATAATATACAATAATATTATCATAATTTATATTATTGAAGTAAGTATGATCTTGATTCCCTTACTATATTTTCTAGAATAGTAGAGTAAATTGTATCGAGATGATTTGAGCTGAAGGAATCCGGAAAGTATCAAGTATTTGTACAATATTCGCGAAATTAAACAATATATATTCCACGTTTTTAATTAAAATTACAAAAAAAAAATAACATTACATATCTCTTTGAATATTTTACAACATAATTGCGTTACGTCGTATTTAATTGCAAATATTAAACTTCATAAATTTATTAAAAATATGAATACATATATAAAGTTTTTATATTAAAAACACTTTTACGTATTTATTAAATGAATAAAACATTATTATACAATATAACACATCTAAAAATTTTTCCAAACAAAGAACTGAGTCAACATAATGTTGACATAAAATTATCAAAATCCGACTATCACGTAAATTATGTCGAATCGTCTGATTTTTCAAGTAGAAATAGTCAACAGATAATGTATAATAAATAGTTAACAGTCTCGAGAAAAAATATATATATATATGTTATATATAAATAAATATATATATATATATATATAAAAGAGGGTGTATATATATATATATATATATATATATATATATATATATATACACCTCTTTTATACATATCTAATATAATATGCAAATTTAGAAAATAATCGACTGAGCAAATACTTGTCTCCTTTTGTATAATTTACAATTTTCGTATCCATCAGCTCGCATCATGTGATACGCGATTCTGTAAATTACTAACAACGAGAGTAGGGTTCTATCTTAATTCTGTCCATGATCAGTTAATTCTCTTACTGCGTACGCTAAGATTTATAGTTATAGTTATACATCTCGCAAGAACTTTTTGTTTGAAAGTTCGAAAGCTCTTGCATCTTCGTTTTTATCTGCTTCTTTCGTGCATTGAACATTCTTCAGGGAAAACAAATCTTACTGTCAGTATATAAACTATGGAAAAAAAAGAAAACATTCTAATTCTACTATTTGCTGCCATGTCGAATTTGTACGAGACACAGAAGACAGCATTTCAGCACTGCAAAGTATACAGTAATATGAATTTGTCACATATAGTTAAAAATCTGCTTAAGAGAAAGTTAACGAAAAAGATCCGAGTATGTATATACCTATATATATTATATGTATATATCGAGCGTGCATTTTATCGAAAGAAACAGAGAAATGAACGGAAACCCTACCACCTTGAAAAAGAAAATACTTCGTTCGCACGCTACGATATTAGCAGTTATTGCAAATATTTTCAATATTTCGTCACGGACACATGCTATATATAAAAAAGGAGTAAGGGGACTACATAATATGCGTATTTAATATAATTAATAATGAATTAGTAAGTTTGTTTTTTCCTATATGCTAAAATACAAAACAATAAATTACCGTTAAACTTGCGCACTGATTGATGCACAATTGTATATGTATATATCTCTATATGCATAATAGTGGCTTTTTTAAAGTAACGATCCGAATCGAGGCAGAGTTGGAATGTAAAGGTGTCCGAGAACTCGCAAGCACAGATCGCGTCTTCGTCAAGTCCGTCGAAAATCGGAATCGTTAAAACGATCCATAATATGTGACTTTATCAAAAGAGAAAGGAAGGAAGAGTGAATGAGGGAGAGAAAAAAACCAAAATATAACAAAGTGCAAAAATAGAAAAAAAGAAACAATTATTCTAGGAACTTCTGTGATTATGTAAAGTGGGATCCGACGAAGACGCGATGATGTCTATCCGAAACAAGGATCGATCGTCAATACGATATATCGCGTGGAAACACGATTTTCACTCGGATAATGGCACGACACATGTCACAGACTAAAGAGGCAGCGATTGTTGTTGACGATATTTGTGTATACAGATGAAATTCTATTTAACTACTTACACCTTTCCGTTAATTAAGGCTTCTAGCTTCTCATCGATCATGTTGAATTGTGACGTCAGAAACGAGAAAGTACAAACTGAAAATTCTTAAATACCACTTTTAAATGAAAAGATATTTCGATAAAACACTATTTTTCAGATGGCTTTAGTACACTTTTAAAAAAAAGTAAAGGTAAGATAGTTTTCGAGATATTTTAAGATGCGCTAAAGCCATCTGAAGTGTTGCTTTATCGAAATATAGTTTCATTTCGAAATGGCATCTAAGAATTTTTAGCGTGTTTTCTCGCTTCTGACATCACTATTCCAACGGCGAGGAACCAGGAGCCTTAACACCAATCAAACTTGATTTATCCATCAAATATCAGACTAAATTTTCTATCGATCGCACTTGCGTATTGTTAGCGATCTTCTCACATATTATTAAATTTAATCGCTTTGATAAATTAACTAATTATCGATTAACGACTTCAAAAGCTACATTTCATGAGGCATGTGCATACATGTACGTATGTACATTTTTATCCGCACGAACGTGATGTATATGTTAATAGTACTTCCCGTACGAATCGGCCAATAAAGACCGCCTCCTTGCGCTGGACACGAGAGTCGTTAAGCTTTAACAAAAACATAAATAACAGGACGGGGAAGGAAAGGGGAAAAGGAGAAGGTAAAAAGATAGCGGTGAAGAGAAGTAGTAAGTAAATTCCATCTCGCTCGACGCGCGAATAATCTATATTGTGACCTTTCAGAAGAGGCATCACAATACAGAAATTGTCCAGTACTCTCCGAATGAGAAACTCGACACGAATGCGAACTCCTATTCTCTCTTTCGTCGTCTTCTTCCTCCTCTGATTTTCCTTTTCTTTTATAGATCGGTGTGCCCCAAGACGCGGCACACCTTCTGCTCCTAAGAATCCGATGGTGACTCCAGCATCTCCTTGAGGAAGTCCTCGACTCGAGCTCGCTCTTCGCCGAGAAGCTTGAAAAAGAACAGGTGCTCCAGGCACTTGAGACCGATCGAACGGATGGATGGCAGGCGGAGCAGCAATTTGGCGAACCTGCCGGGGTCATCCGGCCAAGATATGCGGGTGTATTCCTCCAAAGCGGCGTAGATCTTTTCGCGCAGCACGCTGACAGCTTCAGGGTTCTTGAGACCTCGTACATCGGGATTGAAGAGAATGATGGATCTGTACACACCAGCGAAATCTTAGCGAAAGGTACATACGAATCGACTCAATTAACTAGTATTCTAATCAAAAAGATGGCAAAGGTTATAGAAAGGTCACGTAAAGATCATGTCTTATAATTAAGAGAAAAGAAACGACGAAAGAAAAATCAATCATAAAATCTCCATTTCTAAAGACATCTTCTAAAAAATAAAATAAATAAAAAAGATTATATGCAGTTTTTTTAAATAAGTAATTTTTATTGGATGCACTTTCTAAATTAATATTTTTACTTTTTATTCTTAATATTATATGTTCTTAATATTTTCTATTTTTACAATTATAAAGAAAGTCATCAAGGATGCAATTTTTTCTGCTATTTAATATTGATTTATTAATCGTTAAAATTAATTTGGATAATATATAATAAAGTGCAATATATCATTATAGATATTTAAATGTAAAAGATACATGCAAAAATATAAAATAAAAATATAAAAAAAAATAATTTATTATAAACATGTTAACTTTATTTAAATATTATTAAAAAATTGAACAATTTTCTATAAAATTTATTTAATATTAAAAAAAGATCATCAATAAATTCGATCGAATTATTCGATCTTGCAATTATAAGAGTACAATTATTAAAAAGATATTTTTTTTAATTCTCTGAGTCTCAATACAATTACATGAGAATTACCGGATTTTTCCAGGTAAAAAGAATCCTCGGTTTTTTCAAGGAATAGAGACCCTGTCTAAAGATCCATCGAAGTTTAATTTTTGCTATTTACCTAAGGCATCCGAGTTCAGTCCTGTCCATTTTCATCTCGCGCATTTTCGACACTAGTTCCGAGAGTACGCGATCGAATATCGTGATCACGCCTGCCTGTTGCGCCGAATTTCGATGCACCGTGGCTCCCGTTGCCAGAATGATACTGTCCTTCACCTCGATGGAACGATAGGAGAAGGCGGCTATTAGCAATTCGTTCCAGCCAGCCTTGAGTAGAAGCACTTGATCCCCCAGCGGCAACGATGTAAACTGCGGGATGTGCTTTGCCCATGTCACCAGCTGGAACAACTGTTTGTTGGTGGCGTTGCATATGTGCGAGACTGCATTCTGCGCATTATAAAAGATGCGGGGGATTAGTGAGGAACGAACGTTTGTGATAAAGAAAGAGCAGAGCGCAGTTTCAGGATAAACTAGTAATAGTATAAAAAAGCTATTCGTTTTCTAAATAAAAATCTCGATAATTATTAGATATATTCAAGTAAAACATTATCGTAAAAATTTCATATTTTTTAAGAAAACTCTTTATATTAAATAATTTTAATTATATTGAATTAATTTGAAAATAAATTTTGACCTGTGCAATTTGTACCTATTTAGACCATAATTTGTTAATTCCTTTCTCGAAGAATTTTGAACATTTTCATGTAAAAGTTTTTTTTACAAATTCGTCGATCTTAGTATTATTATAATACTGAGATCGACAAATATTTTTTTTTCCATTTAATAAATTTTGAAGTGGCCTAAACAGATGGAAGTCTGATAAAGCAAGACCCAGAGAGATAGAACTGACCGCGAAAACTCTAGAATTTTTTCCTGGATTATTTTAGCCAAATGTGATTAAGCGTTGTGGTATAGCAAAATCATATTTTTGCTATTGATGAGGGCTTTTTTACAATTTTTCTTATACTCGTAGTTGCTGCACGTATGCATCTGCTATAATTTTTTTGTTTCGATTAAAAAATTCATAGTTTTTCAAAAGTGATTCAGTAATTATCTGTAGCAAAACTTGTAGCAAAAAATTTATAAATCAATCCAATATAAAGTTTAGGCATAATGTAACAATTACATATACACCATAAATATTTAAACGCGAACATTTTATTATTAAGCAAATTCATTGCAATGAGGGATTCATTAAAAATAAAATCTGAAATTGAGATTTATTTAAATTTTTTATAAGGTATCGTAAGAAAAATCGGTGCTCTGTGCATAACGATTCATGAATCGAGTTTAATTAACTTATCCTCGAAATCTGCGCCTGTCTTCTACTAGCATTGAAATTTAAATATGTATTTCACATTAGAGAGCTCTACTGAAGTCTCAGACATTTTATTATTACATTTTCTAACTTCCACTTTTTGGTTTTCATGCAAGGGGGTCCACGCGACATCTCTCCAGACGCGAAAATAATCACCTCATAATTTCCCAGATTCTCCGTTTTACACTCTACCCGTTTCTCCGCCTCGAGGATGCGGTCGATCGGCATGTCCGCGTGCAGACTGCTCGTACTCTCCACCTCGCTCTGATCCCGCTCCTTGGTGCGTTGACGTTCCTCCTGCACTGCCTCTCTCTTCATCCCCATCGCCAGGCACTTCTGATATCGGCAGTATTGACAGCGGTTTCTCTGCCGTTTATCGATGATGCAGGACTTTTCCTCGCGACAGGCGTATGACAGATCCTTACGCACGGTCCTTTTGAAGAATCCCTTGCAGCCCTCGCAACTGAAAGAGAAGTTTGTTTCAAATTATATTGCAATTACTTTATTTTAAAATGTAATTAAATTATAACGAGCAAGATTCTAGAACCGAATATATATATAATTAAATATTTCGCTTTGGAATTTAATCCTTGAAGGTAGAGTTGAGAGATCTAAATGGACATAGCGCGCTAATTATAAAAATATTTCAAAAATTAATTAAAAAATATTTATATAAAAAAAGAAATAAAAAATAAGAAGAGTATTTCGAGCCCATTCTAAAATTGATCACAGAGCGCTTTAGAGCCAAGTTGAGAAAAAAATGTCAAAATTTTACAAATAAAAAATTTATTTGGATTGAAGGAAATTAATATCGTGTAGGTATCACGCATGATTATTACATCGTTATTATAGAACATGCACGTGGAAAAGGATGAATCACGGTCGACCATCTTATATTTTGCAATAGCGCGACGACTTTTGAGTTCGCCAAACGATTTATTGGCATTTTTCCTCGTGTGGTTCTCACACCAGTCTCTCCTGCATCGGGGATGCATTGGATAAAGTACCGCAGGTTTATGACTTCGCGCGTGTTATTTTTACAGCTGTCGTGAACAATAGCACACACACGCGAAAATAAGAGATTCATCGTTACGGTCTATTGTCAGAGATTCACTGAATGTGTGTGTAATGATGTAATAATATTTAATTTTGCGAAAAATAATCATTTAATAATTTCAGAACATTTTTTTAATCACAGCGATTAATGATTGAACTGTTAATCTAAACAGTAACAATACTATATAAGTGACCTAAACCGAGTATAAAAAAAGTTTTAATTAATTATAAAATTAGAAGAGATCAAAGTTTTAAAAAAGTTTTAATTAGCATACATACGTCGAGCGATGCATGAGATAAGATGCGATTAACTAACCAGAGAATCTCCTAATGTTTAATTGCATAATTAGCAATGTGGGTTATCGGATCTCGCTCAAAGTTATTAACAAATCGATAAAATCAAATAATTATTTATATCACTTATTATTTCTCAATGTATGCTTTATTCGGATAAATATATATTTAAGTTTGACTTTTTACACTCATTATAGATCATCCTGTATCGACATTATATGCATATGTATAGCATTGGCGTCTGCAGGATTTTTCCAGAAAGGGGTATAATTAAATTTTGTTTTCTTGTTCTTTTTTAATTTTTTAAAATTTCATTTTTTTAATTTAAAATTTTTAAATAATATATGCAAATAAATTCTAATGTTTTTTGAGAGGAGAGTAAATTTTTTTATTGATTCCAAGGGAGGGTAAATGGCCCCTCTTACTCCCTTATAAATATAGCATATATGTATAAATTATTTATAGTAACGTAGGCGAAGAAAACAGACGTCACTCTCCTCTTCTCTATACGTCACATTTTCAGAAATCGCGAATAATAATAATCATCTCTCGCGGTTGTTGTCGCCGAGAGAGTTCGCCGATCATCATCAACGGTTCCGTGAGTCATGGCCCGCTTTCAGGGTCGTCGTTTTTAAAGTTTTTGGAACGTCTCCAGAACACATCTCCCATTGGAGCCAGAAAAGCGCGGCAGAGAATTTATTTTCGCTGCAGATATACGTATACGTATATATATCCGTGCAACGTGTGTACATATGTACGTATTTTCGCGAATGATTTCGAAGCGGGAAGCTCTCCTTCTTCGCGGTTGACAACGGAACGACGCCACATATTCTAAAAACGCTATATCCTACCCAGCAGAACAAACAGTGGCATTAAATTCCGCTGTCATCTGCTAAAACCTGGGGGCTAAAGCCGCGCGTGTAACAGATGCATTTACATACGTCTTTGTCGCCAACTCGCGATTAACTTCCAACGATGTGAATTAAGTGAAATTAATTCAATTTTTTTTCCAATTATTTTTGTCCACATTGTACTCTTAACTTTGCGCTTTCGGAAAATAAACGTCGCGTTTTTGAGGAACCTCTCGCGAAATTAATTCACGCAGCCAATGTGCTAAAAGCCCCTATCGCGGAGCAGAGTGCGATACATTATTTGCACGTCGTGATCGTGAGAATCGCGCTCATAAAGCGTATTCGCGAAGACTTAAGGATAAATCAAGCGGGTGTATTCATTGTCTGGCTCTCTCGGCGGAGAATTTCCTCTTGTTTCGAGAGAATATATATCTATATACAGGCGAGGCGTCTGCGTGCGTGCCTGACACTAAGACAAACGATACGACGCGCTAATCTCGTGGATTTTGCGAAACATCAAAATATCCCGTTTCCCTCGGAGAAGACAACGCCTATCGAAGCGATGCCCAGGATTTTACGAGGCATTATTGTGCAACTGTAACGCGTTTTTTTAAATTACGCCGTCGTTCGCATCACAACGCCGCGTTAGATACACCGAAAAAATGGTATTCTCAAAGAGGACTGTATACTATAAAATCCCTCTTACCAGATTCCTATACACGGAAAAAAATTAGCCACCATACCTAAATTTTAGCTATCCCTATATTAGAACCTAAAATTTCATTATCTATGCCTATAGAAATTTTAGTTATGGCAATTAATATTTTTGAGTTATAGTTTGACGGAAAATTCTATAACTAAAAAATATGAGCTGTTATAGGTAAAATTTATAGGCATGATGACTAAATTTCAGGTGTAATATGGGAATGGCTAAATTTTTCCGTGTAGGTGTTTTTAGAACATTCTCTAAAATTATATTCTTTGTTAATGATTAACGATCGTATGGTTTTTTATGCGGACTGTTTATTTAGCATTATATGATCATATTGTTACAGCAACGTATAGTATATAATTATTATATAATAGTTGCAATGTATAGTGCAGTGCAGTATGTATCATTGAATAGTTTTATTAGTGGATGAAGATAAAAAAATAGCTTTTGAAAAAGAAAATGCCTATGTTTTTTCCTCTTTGCCCACGTGCTAGTATAAATAATTTATTTTCTGTTCATTTAAAAATAAATCCATTTCGTTTACATTTTTATAAATTACGAATACCTGATATTATAATAATATTTAGGATATTCCACTTTTAAGATTAAAGACCCACCCTTTTGACATCTATTTTAAAACAGGATACTCTGAAAACAAGTGACAATTTTTATACAATGAGAATAAAATTTTTTCAATGTAAAATACGCGTAATGCTGTGTTGAAAAAAAAAAGAGATTCTGGGATATTTGAGCTATTAGAAGCTGACGTTAATAATTTGCGATTAAAATGCCTCAAAAGCGTATAAAAGGTGCCAAAATATCAACGATCTCCTTTATTTCGAAAACTTAAACGCACGTAATTATATATCCATCATCGTGCCATTTAATCGGAATTTCTTCTCGCTCTTTCGTGTCATCGTAATCTCTCTAATCGAATAGGACCTCTCCTTTTTCACAATGATGCTAATTTGCGACTCGACTGCGAAGGCTCGATTACAACATCGTGTCCTTAATCGTCATGTAAGTGCGAAGTGTAAGAGAAGAGGAAATTCTCCACGCATACACACAGAAAAAAAGGAATCCTTGATTCAAGTATATTTTTATTCTTGAACGCTATTTGATTGATTTAAGCATAGAATGCTCTTTGTAATCACAAATTTTCATTTGCCTTAATAATAAATAAGTTTGTGTAAAGTATATTTTTTTATCCTTAAGATATATTCTTCTTTTAAAAATCATTATATAGTAAAAACAAACTTAGTCACAATTGAATTAAGAATTATATTTGCAATACTTAAAAGTAAATTTCAGCTTCAACCAAGAATATTTTGCACTTTGTTTTAAGGATAAATTATCCTTTATCCAAAATTATTTCTATTTGGCGCTATTATCAGGATAAAATATACTCGAATCAAAGCATATTTGCATTCTCTCAAGGATACTGTTTTTTCCGTGCAATAATGATGATTTTTATGCTCGTAGCGCTTTTCCAACATCATCACAGAAAAAAAGGAATCCTTGATTCAAGTATATTTTTATTCTTGAACGCTATTTGATTGATTTAAGCATAGAATGCTCTTTATAATCAAAAATTTTCATTTGCCTTAATAATAAATAAGTTTGTGTAAAGGATATTTTATTCTTAAGATATATTCTTGTTTTAAAAATCGCATATGGTAAAAACAAACTTAGTCACATTTGAACTAAAAATTATTATATATCCGATGCTCACTTGTCCTTGCAATATTTATAAGTAAATTTCAGCTTCAACCAAGAATATTTTGCACTTTGTTTTAAATTATCCTTTATCCAAAATTATTTATATTTGGTGCTATTATAAGGATAAAATATACTTGAATGAAGGCATATTTGCATTCTTTCAAGGATACTGTTTTTTTCTGTGATAGCAACGAGATGACGCTAGAGACACTGTGTTGGATGGTACAATAGCTCCGATCCAATCCATCGAGAATTGCATCGCGCATCTCTAGACGTGGGCGGCGCACGTGATGCAATTTCTGGACCACCGTGACAGCCGTTTGATCTCGCAGAGTTTATGCGAAAGACAAATATTCATGACACGGGACACGTGTGGAACCACCACTCGACTGCGCTAGTTCTCTCTCTCTCTCGCTCTTTCCCTCTCTGTTTCTTCTTTATCGTAAAAGACCTTCAGTGCCATGTGCATGAATAACGTCGGCGCAGAAGCTGCACGATGCTGCTACGTGTTTCACAGTTTTTCACCCGATCGCGAGAGATTCCGTTGGAAAAAAAAATAGAGCTGCACGAGGAAAAGCCACATCTCGTTTGACGCGGAAAATAAAGAGGCAATCGCAGATTAATTTCTTTCTAAACGCAAAAAATACACGCTTTCTAATTATTTAATTAGAACATTTTTAATAATTAAATTGATTCGCGATGCGCACGATATCCTCTTAAAATGGCAGACACATTGTATTTCTCTAGCTAAAATTTAGCTAATTCTTTTCCGTGTATGTTTTTTTCACCTGTATTATTTATCACAAAAAAAATCTTCACGAAACTGCAGTCAGAATAAATAAACCGAATCCAAATCATTTTTGCTGACGTTGAAGAACGTTTGCTGTGCAATTTTAAATTGAATAAAAAAAGTAAAAATTTTATTTTAAACTCGAATTTAAATGAATAATATTTTTAGAAGAGAGAGAGAGAGAGAGAAAATGGAAAAATGTATAGTAATTATTTTTGCCAATCGCAAAGGCATTCCACTGGTCAAAGAAGAATGAACAGTACTGGGTTAAAGGGTTAATTAGTCGCCACTGGAGCAAAGTGCCTATATACAATGAAAAAGAGGGGGGCCCTCCATAGGAACTACGGGTGGGTAGTCGTTCTAACCTCGTGAGCTAGCAGCAGCAAGTCCAAGGTTGATGGGGGCCTCTGATGCAACGAGAACATCGCGACGAGCTGGCCTGCAGCTCCATGCAACGCGCCATCGCGACGGGAAGAGACGAAGGACAGGGAATGTATATAGGTGGGAGATCGGCGGCCTTTCTTTGTATACGTGCGTATATATATATATATATATATATATGTGTACGTGCGTACATCCACGGGATTCCCTTGCACCATGGAGCGACTAAACATCCGCGCGAGCGCACTGGCGCTCCAGCGAAAATGGCTCGAGGTCGCATGGCGATTCGCGGAAATTGGAACGGAATTCGCGATATCGAATGCTTTTACGTAACGCCGGGACTCGATTACGGAATTGGCACAATTCCGTACATAGTTCGTCCGCGGCTTTCCGAATCGCTCTTAGCAACATGAGGATAACGCGCGGATATTGTAATGATATGGAACGAGAAACCGTAATACGTTAGTATGATGCTTATTAAAAATAGATAAGTAAGGATGAAAGGGAGATAAATAAAAAGAAATAAAATTAAATGGATAAAAGGAATAGATCTGAAAAAAAAGAAAGAAAATTAAAAATTAAGAACTAATTAAGAGCCGAGCTAATTAGGAGCGCTATAAAGGATGCATAATTTCTTCCTTCTTGTTAAAAATGATTTATTTGGTATATTTCCTATTGTTCTGATTTCATCAGCAATTGTCAAATAATATAAAATAAAATTGGCATCAAGACATAAATTTTTCATATTTAATTATATTCAAGCCATACGCAATATATTTTTATTTGTCCGAGAGTTGCATTTAAGAAAATTATTCGATCGTGTAAGAAGGGTTTTCCCCCAGGACAATAAATTCGTTCATTGGCGATGACGTTTTTTTTTACGTCAACCTCGAAGCGTTATCAAGTGGATCAACCGCACTTTTATCGGGCAAGTATGTTAAGGGACTGAAATACGTGGAGTGAATAACTTGGTATATAGGTATTTCTGGAGGGTCCAGAGGGATCTTCCTTCTCGCAGTTACTTTCATCGTTACGCCGCAGTAACTCTCGTCTGAATTAGAAAGTTGGCACAAGTTTTAATTGGATAAGTTACTTTGAGAATCTAACTTTCGTATTTCAGCTATTTCGTAAAATCACCGAGAGAAAAATGTTAACAAGACCTATCTTCGTGTAAAATTCACAGACACGCCTAAAGACTCTACCACAACAATGATGCTTGGATTATACGAATTTCTGATTAGCAAAATGACAAGCGTGTAACAGAATGTCTATATTAAAATTTTGTGAAGAAAATTGCTTGAAAGTTTCTTGATCATTTGAATTTCAGATAAAAGCTAAAGAATTTTTAGATGCCACTTTTTAAAATAATTTTTTATCGTATATATTTTCTTGTGCTTTTCACTCATAAAAGAAAAATAAAGATCTACTTCAGAAATTAAATTTGAAAATTTATTGAAAAGAGAATAGCTTTTATAAGATACATATTTTTCATTTGTATAATATTTTTCATTTTTCATTAAAAATTGCAATAAAGAATACGTATTACATACATTCAGTATATTTTGCCAGAGAATATTAAAAAAAATTCCTTAAGTAAGTCTTAATAAAATCTCCGATTTTCTACATTTTTTCAAAAAGTATAGACACTTTGATTAATCATATGTGATTGGCACAATTTTAATAACATAATTTCTTAATTTTTATTCTCATGATTCTCAAATATTTCTATATATGACTATCATGTAACACACACACACAGTCATATAATAATATAAATATAATATCTGAAAAAAATTTGTAAAATATGCTTCGATAAACATAAAAGTTGCGTGCATGAGACAGATTGCGGAAAATAATTTCAGGTGCGTCTTGAATTAAGAGGTATATATAAACTAAATATATTTCGACCCGCGCGTTTGACGTTTCTCAACAATTATTATCGAAAGACCGACAAACTGTCGCGCTGACAGGAACGCGTAATAACAGCTATTATACGCATCCAGATGTACGCGGGATGGGTGTGTTACGGAGTAAAATATCGTGTGCACCTTCTCGGTAGGCAGGAGGTGTTGCGTGTTCGCATAAAAGTCAGCTCGCGCAGATGTTCCTTTTCACAGCGCGCGTTTTCGCGGCGGTTCGCCGCGACCTGTTGCGGCCGCAGAAAGACGATATATATATATACGCACAGACACCCAGGGCCCCTTTTTTTCCCCGGGGCACGCATGCGGTGGAAACTCTTTCACCTACTATCGCGTTTCCTTCGGCTCCGTCTGCGCCGGCCCGTTTAGTTCGTCGACATTTTTATTATTCCGCCGGACGACGGTTCGACGCACCGCGGCGATTATGCAAACGCGACGCCGTATATATATATATATATATCAGCTTTTTTTCTTACGTATGCACGCGATGAACGAATGCGAGGAGACTCCGTTAATAATCGAGGGTATATGTATACATGCGTGCGCGCGAGTCAAAGTTCAGTGTCGACGCTCGGATTGTCGAAGAATTCTATTTGTAACGCGAGGTCTAAGAAATCTCTCAATCCTACCTATATAATTAATTTTACATTATACGTACACGTATAATGTTATATAGGAGAGAATTTTTTCTTAGAATTTAGCCGGAAAATCGTGGCAATCGTGGGACAATATGATACTGGAAGAATTTGATATTAATTTATCATAATAAAAAATATTATATTAATATATGTATATAGTAAAATTAATCGAATATATTTTACATCTTATTGTTTGGTAAATATTAATCAGAGAAACTCTTTATAAAAACATATATATTGTCCCACGATTATCATGATTTTTAGGGTAAATTCTAAGAGAAAATTCTCTCTGTAGAAAATACGACTTCTAAAGAAATGATGTAATAAAGTGTATAAATATATAATACAAAATATAAATAATATGTAAAATGAGTTCTGAAATAATTGTTGGCGAATGTAATCTAGGTAAAATAATCGATGAAATAACTACGAACAAAACGGATAAATAATAAATTAGGGAAAAAAAGACAAATCGGAGCATGTTTAATATTCAAGTAGAATCACGACTTTTATAAGCGCGTGTCTCGCAACTTCGCAGACAGTAAACGAAAGCATGAGAGAGCGTGTATCTCTGATACTTTTCCCAAAGAAGTTGATTCCATCCTTTCCATCAATCCCTCGAGTAAAGACACGAGACAGCCTCGAGACTGACTTATCGAACGTTAAATAATTGAGGAAAGGTCGACGAGAGGTTGTTCAAGTTGGGGAAAACGTCAGAGTATAAAAAAATATTCTCCCCTGTCCTCTCGAGCTCGTCCGAGTACTATTCGATTTAATTATTCGGCTGAATCTCCCGTACAGACTTATTTTTGCAATAACTCTTTGCGCGAGTCGGAGGTTAAGGATAATTGGAAAAAAAACAAAGCAACTATCACGTCGATTTATCACGATGTTTTTGCTATATAGGTAATGCGGCCGGGCGCTGCATAATAAATTATTACATTCTCGTGGAATGGGTCGGGATTATTCATCGCGTCTTCCGTTAACGAGGGTCAGGATTATCAAGCAAATCCGAAGAACCTTGAACCGCGCTCTTTCTCTTTTTCTCTTGTTCTGCAACGCGATGCAACAGCGGAAAATCATCTCATCTGGCAAGCACAACGAATTCATATTCATAGGCGCGGCCGGTATCTCCGCTTTTTCTCGGATTAAATCTCACGTCGGGTCTTTTACGAGTTCGCCCTCTTCGGAAAATGCCACGAAAGAACGGTAATTATTTTTGCAGTTGGCCAAGACGAAAGAGCGTAAGAGAGCGCACAAGAGAGAATATTCAAACGAGTTTGTTCGCTTTTATTATTGAAGTCGCCGCTTAAGAGATATATTCAATATTATACCGTCGATTGAAAGATTATATACTCGCGTACATTTCTTGAATAAAATCCTCCGTGCGTCAAGGATCAAATTTACATGATAAATACGCGCAAGAAGAGGTAAAACGCTTTTTTATAGTCTTTAGACTTCTCTCTTGCCGGATACATACTTGCACTATTGAATGTATAATCGCAACTTTTCCAATACATTTACTGTGGATTTCGAGAGAGACAGAGAACTCTTTTATTATACAAATATAAAAAGATAAGAATAACATAGACAATCTGTCTAAAGTTGTTGGAGGATGGTTTTAATAAGTCTTGAAAGATTTACAAGGGAACCTCGGTAACCCGAGAATTTTGATTTTGATAAAAAAAAATACCTTTACACGCATTTAATAAAATTTTGAAAAAATAAGTTTTTCTAATTGTTACATTGAAAAGAAAAATTTTTTTTCAAAAAATATATTTAAAAAAAGAAAATTTTTAAATTCATCTATTTATCCGCCTTCTACACGTGTGTGTCGAATTCTCCAAATTTTCGACTTCTCGAGGTTCTTGTTAGTATCTAACTACAACAATAATTCATTATAGAATTATCAACTTACCTATAAACGCCGTAATGTTTACCGCTCGCACGGTCGCCGCAGATCGAGCACAGATGTTTGCTGCCCGACAAAGGATGATTAGGCGGATAAGGCGTGACCGTCTTGCTTTGACCACTGGGCGATGTACTCAGGAGGTTGCTGTGACAACCAGCATTGAAGGATCTTTACATGTAAAGCAGAGATATCTGTGAATCTACGCCACTACGATCCCGTAACGTGCACATTTCGAACAATTTAACGTGTTAACTAACGGATCGCTACACTGTCGAAATCTTGTGAAATTGAGAATTTGATTACACTGTATCTGCACGGAAAAAAAAATTAGCTACCATAGCTAAATTTTAGCTGTCCATATATTACACATGAAATTTAGTTATCATGCTTAAATTTTAGCTATGACAACTAATATTTTTTAGCTATAACATTCTCCGTTAAACTATGGCTAAAAAATATTAGTTATCATAGCTAAAATTTAGCTATGGTAGCTAATTCTTTTTTTCCGTGTGTTAAAAAAAATTTTTTAAATTAAAAAAAATATATATATGAAAGTATCAATAAATAAAAGAATAATTTTTTTATCGGAATTAACTCGAGCAAATCTGCCGTCAAATTTATATAATTATATTAATTATATTATAATAAGAAGGAATACTTACCCTGGGCTATTGGGACCCGATGGACTAAAGTTCCCCGGATTGATAAGAGCCGTGTCGGGCTTCATGTCGAGAGGACTTTGCGGACCTACTGACGACATCGACATGTTGCTATCCAAACTTAACCCTGTAACACGAGACGTTTTTCGAATTTATTTTATCTGACTTTTATTTTCTCTCTCATTAGCATATTAATGTCATATATTCGCATATTTTTAATGTTGCGTAAATATAGTTCCTCTTGCTTGCAATTTTCACGAAAGATCAAATATAGCACGCTCATAACACGCGATGATAAACAGATGACAAGCGCATGATAAACGTGCTCGATGCAAATTGCAATTTCTAAGAAGTTGCGTGAAAAGTGCATCTATCATATTATCCGATATTTATACTATGACGATCGACACTTTGATGATATGATATTCTTTTTAAAGCGACGAAAGGATGTAGAGAAAAGAAACTATGATCGAAAAAGAAACACCTTGCTTATCTCTCTCATAACTCAAAACATCATAACTCCATTATGATGATATATCATAATGATTATACGTTAAGTTTGACAAGATTAAGAGTAAATTATATTATGAGTTGGATAGATTAGATATATACACCGTACAATATTGAGGTTTGGTTAATAAAGAATATTTTAGGATGAAAACCTCGAAAAGCTGTCTAGACAAGTTCTTAAGAAAAAATTGGCATAATAAGAAACAAAATCCATATAATAATACACTTATAGGCTCAAGTTAAGATAAAAGGGTAAAGCTACATAAAAGATTACACCTCGCCGATTTTGTCGCTACTTAAATGTTGTAGAGGAGATTCTACGAAGTCTAACTTGATATTTAAGCGACGAGAAAATCGATGAAGCGTAACCTTTCGAAATTTTACCGAAAAGGAGATGTCGAAAAAAATCGAAAAATAATTAATCGCTTGACAACGCATTAAATATCATGATAAAAAAAAATCTTCCGCGTCCTTCGCGCATTCCTTTCGCCACGAGGAGGACAACGACGCTTCTCGGCGCGATCGCGCCAGCAATTTACAGTTACAGGAAACCTGCGAGTAACCGCGTGTCGTCGATCGATCGAACGACCGATCGATCGATCGGATCGACGCTTCCCTCGAAGACGGAGGAAAGTTCGCGCGAGAATCGCCGCGAGAAAAAGAGAGGAACGAGCCTCTGCTCGGCGAAGGTCGAGCGATCGGAACGCGTGATTATGCGGTAAAACGACGAGACGAGATGCGACCGCGAGAGTTGCAGGTGCGGACGAAAGACGGCTCTCGAAGAGCGGGAACGAAACCGTGTAACGTCGAGTTTTATTCGCTCTTCTCACGGAGAGCGAAGACTCTGTCATTATCCGAGAAATCCCTCTATCGTCGCAGGGATTTCTCTCTTCGGCATCGCGTGAATGTGTAGAGTTCTTTCTGTTTCTGCGGAGACCACCATTCCGCTTTACATGCCGATAATATCTTTGATGTGACGCGTATAGAGAGTAATAATACTATAGGGGACTCCGTAAATTGAGTATTTATTATCTACTTAATAGAGGGAAATTTTCAAGATTTATGGGACTCTCTTCGGATGACGCGATCTTGCTATTTGTGGATTTACAATGGGCAATTTTTACGGAATAAAAAATCTACACATAATTAATGTGCAATTGAAGCACAAAACTAGTCCTAGATATCTACAATAAGAATTTCTATCGTCAACAAAATATTTAGATTTAACCAAATTTGCCAAATTTAACCAAATATAATGTTAGAAGAATACGTGTGCAAAAGCAAAAATACAAAAACGCCGAGATCTGAGAAATCATAAAGCATATAAATTTAATGCTCCCCTAAATTTCTTTAAAGCCTGTGGCATTTATGACTTTATATGTCTGGAAGGATTCGCGTTTGTAGCACCGTAGGGACCATTGAAAGCGAAAGTCCGTGGAAACAAATACCCGAGAAAGGGCAAAAACCCACGACGAGGAGCGAGGGAGATCCGTGAAAGTGCCTGAATTCTACAAAAGGTCGCTCCCCAAGTTTCACGTAACCAAGAGAACGAGCAGTTTGTATTGGAAGCTCATTTCGTCAACATCGGCGCGAGATATCTGGAGAGAGATTGCTCGGATAAACGAGACTATAACAAATGGCCTTCCGCCTCACCGATACGAATCTCAAGACTAATTTATATATATATATATATATATAGTATTTTATATATATTTTCTTTCCTTGCTCCCTTTCACTCCTTTCTCGCTCTTCCTCTCTATCGACATTTATATGTATAGAGTGAAAGAGAGCAAAAAGAATAAAAAAGAATGAAAATGAACGAAAGAGAAGAATCTCTTCTCTCTTTCACTAGTGCGTTAATTTCTCGTCCTTTGTGTTCGTCGGTTTCTGCATGAAACAGTCTTCTCACGGAATTACATGGTATTGATCCTGAATCCTTGAATTACATGGTATTGATCTGTTTCTTCGTGCGGTCCCTCTCGAGCGATTATCATCCGTCGTTTTCTCCCTCTTTATAACCCTTCGCAACAGATTCAGTCTCGCTCCGAAGGAAAAGAGATTCCTCTCTGATATAAAAAAAAAACCCAATCCATTTTTGCGCTCGGTGTTTATTCGGCAGCGAATGAAATGATTGATGAAGGTTTACACGTCGTGAAAAAAATTCTCGTTAATGACGATTATTATGATTCTTCCATAATAAATCCTAAAAATTTATTTTAACGTGGCACATTTATCCGATATGCTAAATGAAAATTGATTATGTAGAAAAGAGTTTACTATAACAACAAACGTTTGAAGTTGAACAACCGTTGCTAAATCTTCAGCTCGTTATCAATCACATAAATTACTAATCGCATCGCGTTATCGGTCTTTTTTATCGAATGAAAACGTTGACGGGAAGATTAATCGCAGACTGTATCTGAAATCGTCGCTTTATCGGAGCAACGAGCTCTGCGTTTATTATAACACAGCGAAAACCCCGATCAGCAGTAATCGTCGCCGTCAGCTAACGTCAACCGAAGAGAAGGTTTATCTCTCCTCGTTTGGCCACTTCTCGCAGGACATTTTTCACTTTCTACATTCAGTGGTCGGTCCATTATTGCCCGACGATGACGAGCCCTCGCTAGCCCTCACCTAGACTCGCATTTTCTCCTTTTAACTCCGTGGCAGTTAGGGTGGAACGTCCGAGAAGATAAATGACATTTTAATCGACTCCAGACGCGCGAGGGACGCGATGTGTTGACAAATGTTTGCGGGACGACAAAGAAAGGAGACGATATTAAGTCTTGTTTGAACAATCTATAATTTACAATAAAATTCTATCTATATCGCACGTTGAATTGAAGACATTAATTTGATTATCATGATCTATCGCTTTTAAAAGATAAAACGAGATGGCCACTTTTGATAAGACACTCTGTGTACATTTCCATATCGATTATTTTAAATTTCTTTTCTTCAAATAAATATTATGGGTTTATTTATAAAGCTTTTCGTAACTGTATAATTAAAAAAAATATATGAATGAAATTTAAAAAAAATTAAGTCTACAATTTCATCGCGAAATCTAGACCGTTTAAAATAGGTTTTGTATCAGCGAAGGTGGCCGGCGTGTGTTCGTTCAGTTCAGACGATCTGTTGTTGAGGACGCGTCAAGTGCATCGGTAATTGCACGCCTGACGTCATTCTGTCACTCTCTCCCTTCCTCTCTTTCTCGGTTTCTCTCTTTCTCTCCGGCCCACTCCGGCCGATCCGCTCGCTCGGAAGCGCATCACTAACCGACAAATGCGCAGCAGACAGACAGATTGGGATTTATGGCGGTGATGCCCCTGCATCAGGGATGACCGCCAAGAAGATACACTCAATCGCTAATCGGTTGGCGTCAATTTTTTAACGAGAATCAAGAAAATCGAAAGTTTAACATTGTTATTGACATGTGGTTAAACACACAGGCAGTGTTGTATAAGTTCTTATCGTTTATTTAAAAATATAATGTATTTAAATATTTTTTATTTGAGTATTTGACTATATATAATTATTTAAAAGGAAATTTAAAAATCCTACATTTATAGAATTAACTATAATTATAACTTATATATTAAATATATTGACTAAATGTGTCAACTATATTTTTAACTATAACATATTAATTGTACTAACTGCGTTAATAATCAACTGTATATATGCATAAAAATATTAATACTTTTTCAAAAATATGAGCAATGGACTAGCATATATGATTATTTTTAGGCCAATGCAATGTGCGATCGGGGAGTTTATGGACCGAAAGAAGAAGCAAGCGGTTCGATCAGGAGGAGCTGAATCGAGCCGGTGGAACGGGGCCACCACGTGGTCGCTCCGGTGACCCACAAAATGATTTATGCAGTCGATCCGAGAGACCGTGGAGAGTTCTCGCTGGAATTATATCTCCAATGTGCCTGTGCGCGCACGGTTGGCGATTCGATAATAATTCGAAAATCGAAATAGCACTCTGGACATACATATTGGATTCAGCATCCATTCTCTGTTTTCACGAGAGATAGATTGCTTTTATCTTCTGCTTTTTAGATAGCTATAGCGATTGATTAGCGATTTGTACGATAAAAGATTTACGATTTTTCATATTTACGGCATCGATGACCGATTTTCGAATTTTGGCACAGATTCGCACTTGCGTGCTCTCTTTTTTACCGCCCTAATTATTACAACGGAAGAGGATTTAAAACCGTTCTCGGAAGAAAGATGCTTGAAAAAAATTGCACGCGCGATGTTTCGTAAACATCGCGGACGAGCGTTGATCTCGCGGTGCATTCGCTCTCGGTTTGTGTCAACGATTTGTCGCGTGCGCGCTGCACAGAGATGATGAGTTATACATTGAGGTCGTAGCTCTCTCGCTCTTCTCGCGGCTGACTTCTATTTCGAGTGCCGGGTCGTCGTCGTCGTCGTCGTCGCTTGCGTGCCACTCATCACTCTCGTTTATTAAGCATTGCGCCGCTGGTTTAATTACGCAACCGGCCGGCAAAGCGAACGGATCGAAGGTCGTCGACAGTCCGCGAGAGACTTCGCGACGCGCAAGAAGCATTGCTCAGATATAGAGTGCATCGCATCGCGATACTC